TGGGTCCTGCTACTCTCTGTCATGTTAATGATAAAGAGCATAAATCATTTAAACATATTGTCATGATGTTCACTTTGCGTCAAAACATTACGCCAAGATTCCTTATTTAACTTTTCCTTCTCATATGGAGAGCACAGCAGTGATTTATTGTAAAAAAAAGTTAATGTGAGGAAAACTACCTTGGTAGAAGTGACAATGGTGTTTGAATGGTTTATATAACTGTCCCAGGTAGGTGGCCAGGGTTAAATAGTACTAATGTGGATACAAATACATATCCCTGGTGTTTTGCTTAATAACCTTTGGGGATCAGAGCGTATTTATACAGCTTTAATTTAGTGTCCCTGAGGACACTAAATTAATTGGATAGAGATTGTGAGGAGACAGATTGTTGATGCCCTGTGGAAGAAAGAGGCTTGATAGTACTTTTCCCTTCCATTTTCTCCTTTCTCTCTTGAAGGCCTGACTTGTGTTGAGGTAGAGCTCCAAGGTCAATGCATTATACCCCTCCCGTATTACCAAAGTGGCCACTTTTCAAACATAGGCATAGATAACAGAGTGTCCTGCGCTGTGCAACCGTATGTTGGGGGATAGGGCATCACAATCAATCCTCATCCTTTTGTACATTCAGTGTTCATATTCATTTTCAAGCAGAGAATACTAGATAGGGTACAGGAACAGGAACCTTGGCTGATTTCTTACCCCCCCCCCCCCACCACCCCACTCTGTTTGCACTAAGGCTAATTATAAGACCCTGAGCATCATACAATAGCTGACATCAGTTAACTCAGTACAAACAAAGTCCCAACGTTGTGCTGAATAAAACATATTGTAACATGAAACATCTTAACAAAATAATAATAATCCTTAGATTTAGTACTGGGCCCCTCATGTTAGAAGGACATTTCAAAGCACTTCACAGTATATACTGTACAATGCAGTGAATGTGTATTTTACAGGCAAAACACAGCAGCTAATTTGTGCATATCAATGTCACACAAACAGCCATGAAATGATTTAAAATCTCATCCAAAAGACAGCATCTCCAACAAGGTAGCAAGCCTCAAGGACTGCACTCGAGTATCAGCCTAGACAAAATGGGTTTAAAGCTCCAAAGAGGTGCATGAATCCACAACCTCTGACTCGGAGGCGAAAGTGCTATCAACAAAGCCAGGCTGACTGACACACCTTAAGATATATGATGCAAACTGTTTTCTAATGGAAAAACTCTGATGCGTCACACCAAATGAGGAGGCCTTGATTTTGGGGAGATCTCAAGTTGGATCCAACGTCTCACAGGTAAGTAAGGGTTTCCCAGGAGGAAACAAAGTTTATGTCACAAGATCATTGTTTAGCACGAAGCATCAATGTTGCCATTTGAGTGCTTTTTTAAGCTCATGGCCTTAGATTGTATTTCACAACATTCTAGAAACTGATGTGAGAATGGTGTTTTTATATCAGCACATCAATGATCACATTGCTGTGAATTTTTCTATGCCAATCATTTCATTTACACCCTTATGCTGAATCTTCCTACTCAGCAGAACCACCAAACAACTAAACATTTCCCTATTTCTGTGATCTTCTGCTCACCCACTCCCAACCCAGCTAACTTGAGCAAGTTGTGTGTCCTCCATGCCCCCTTGCCAAGTATTCAACAACCACGTGCTTAACCATTGGAACTCCCTCCCTGCATCCTCCATCTCACCCTCCTCTCTATCTGAGACATTATCCTGAATAAAGGGTACTATATCAATGCAAGTTGTTGTTGAGCAAAACATGAAAAGTCAATTCCATCACTACAAATGATTGCAGTGTGATTTAATAATACTATTTAATGTTTGCAAAAGATCACTGGTTCTCATCTTGCCTTTATATACTTCTCATCTTTGTTTTACTTGACATCTTAAACAGCGTCCCAAGAGGAAAACAGCCTTTGTAGATAACAGTGTTACAGTAGCAGCCTTTAAGTGAACAAGATAAAGTAAACTATGATGTCTGCAAAGGTTACCTACGTAAATCTGGCAATGGCTCCGATGTAGATATATTGAGGGGGTGGGTGGGATGGGGGGGATTATTACAGAGCAAATTAGACCATTTTCCTAATTTTAGTAAATTTTGCAAATTTACTCTTGTAAATAGTTGTCATGAAAATTTTAAAATCTAGTTAAATTTTCCATCTTCATGATTGTTATGTTATTTAAACTTTTATTACAAGATTAGAGTTATTTATAAGCTGCTATATATGTAAACACAATGGTGTTCATTCATGGTGCCTCCTCCCTTTCCTCCTTCAAGGGCAGTCTCAAGACCTTTCTCTTTGACCGTGCCTTCAGCTCCCCTCTCGACTCTCTACCCCCTCCTCGCTCCCTCCCTTCCCTCACCTCACCCTGACCATTTCCCCCCTGCTCGGGTCCTGACCCAACTGTACAGCACCTTGGGACGTCCTCCCGACGTGAAAGGCGCTCTATAAATGGAATCCTGTTGTTGTTGTTGTTCAGGTCATGTAAAAGAATCCTCTACATAGAGTATACAGAGTACAATAACTTAGCTTCCAATGTAGAGTGGATTGCTAGCAGAAGGAATATCACTCCTATATAAGGCTGTAACAGTAATTTCCAAGAAGCTTTGATAAAGTGTTCTTCCATTTGCTTAAAAAAATTCACTCACAGAAACAATAGTTTTGAAAGAGCAGAGGATAAATCATCTGTTTCTTGTGTAGAACTATTCACACATGTTTTGCTTTGCTGCACTTTGCTTCAGTAGTAAATAAATTCCCTGCTGAGATATCAAATGGCAAATAGACAATATGTCTCCAAAGATGAAATTTGCTAAGCTTCAAATTTGAGAACTTCTGACCAGTCAAAATGTGAAATGGTTTTCGTTTACTTTCTTTTAATCAAAGGGATGGATTCTAGTGCTGGGGAACTGAGGACTTTCCACTTTTGTACCTAGGGCCGCAAGATATTGGGACATGTGTGACATTGCTGTGCCAAAATTGGTTATCCCGTTTGCTTACATAATACATAGTAACAACACCTTACAATAAATCCCGTGAAGCACTTTTAGACATCCTGTCAATGGGAAAAGCACTCCCACAAAATGTAAGGATTAGTATTTTTATTACATGACATGCAAGTCAGCCACAAAATGTCCTGGTTAGAAGTTTGCTCTTCTTCAACAGTGAGGTTGATAAAGCACTGTTCTCGAAAGGAGTAGTGTGACTTGTGGCTCACTGCTGGGAAAAGCACCTCACAACATAACACTTGTTTACTGTGAGGAAAACACCAAATCACAAGAACTCTTCTCCACCCAAGATTGCCTCAGATCCCAACGTCTTAGGAGCTGATGTAACTTTCACTTGGAGAAAATGTAATCTTAGTGATAGTTTCTGTTTTCTGCTCAAGCTATTTTTGTGGAGATTCTGAAAAGGCAATTTAGCAGCGGGGTGGGGGTGGGAGAGGCAGGGTCATTGTGATGTTAAACCTGAGTCTTCACTCAAAACTGGATCATAAAGTCACATTTACAGAAAAGCCTAGCATCCCATGAGTCTATTGCTGGATTCTAACCCAGAAACACTGTGCTAACCTATCATCCCACCCAATCCATCAAACCCTTGCCGAGCTTATCATTTTTCATTGATTTTTCTGTAAAATAATTCATCAGTATAATGGCCCAAGCAGTCAAGAAAAAATATTTTTGTATCGAAAACCCAGCAACAGAAAATTTTCTTATTATGGCATGGTTACCTTAGCAACTGTGAATGGTGTTAAGACATCACTGCTCTTCTGGGATGTAGGGTGCATTTAAAAGTAACACACTGTACCAGCTGGAATATAAGACATTTTGAAGCACTTTGTTAACTTAACAACTCCTTGTATTGCTTTGGGTTTGTTTCAGCTATTATATTAATGTTCACGAACTGTGTATTTCAATCACCCCAAGAATACAGAGAAAGACGTAAATGAACCTTGTGGGTGTGTTTCCATGACAATAGTAATGTCTCTTTTTGTTAGCAATAGAATACAGTAACTATGTAACTTAGAACATGGTCCTGCTTATATAATTGCTTTTGTTGTTATAAAGATAGTCTATTCTTTTTTTGTCACATAGCCAAACATTTGCGCATCCTTTCAAAGCGGCTGTTCAAATTAAGATGTATTTTTCAAACAGATTTAAAAGATGGCTTCTCCCTGTTACACTGCAATTTACTCCACAAAGTGCCTATAATATATTTATTTAAGTATCAGTGGCATCGGATCTTAATTTAACAATGATTGTCTTGGAGATACTTGAGCAGTGTGATTTCTAGCAGCGCTGTGGATAAACTGCTTGGAATCTGTAGGTAATTTCCCTGGCAATAGTGTAGAGAAAGCAAACTTTGCACTTGTGGACAAGCAAAATACAACATGTGATATTATCACGTGCCATATCCCTCTCCATACTCTGGGAAGACAGGTTTGAATAGGTTACTTCTACTTTTTTGGAGCTGTTTTTCAAGAGTTGGGGGTAGGGAGATGGTTGAAGCAAGAAATATTGATTCTTTGAAACACAGATAAGATAGTTTTCTTTTAGGAAATAATATTATGGGATATAGGACATAGGTAGTTCAGCACATATATGCATGTGACTGCCAGGAAGGTGGAAGACAAACTAGATGGACCTTAGTCTTTTTTCAACTAGCATTTCCTATGTCCTTATGTTGAACAGACAAACAGGAGCTTGGTTTAAAGGATGATACCTCCAACAATGTAGTACACCCTGCTTTGAAGTATCAATATAGGCTGTGCGTTCAAAGTCCTGACAAAACTTATCTTAGTGTATAAGGCTAAGATAAGCTTTGGCTAAAAATATCTGCACTACTCATATGCTTCATGTTTGATGAGAGGTTAACAATATATACATCTGCTCAATTCTTTTCCCGGTTGACAGCTCTTCTCCTAGTTTTTTTTAATATAAACTAACTGTGATCTCTATGCTAATATACACATTCTGTATTTCAGGATTCTTTGACCAAGACTGTCCAAGCTGCTCTTACCATACACAAGCCTCAACCAGCACCTAAACCTGATGATAATGCTGTTGTCCACTTCTTTAAGAATGTGGTGAGAAATTGTTGTTTTTGTATATTGTGTGATTCTTCAAGATGACAATTTTAATACATACTAAAGGGAAATTGCATTTCAAGGGCACTGTTGGAAACATAAGGGTAACATTTGTGGTATTCCTTAATATATTGTGCTAATTAAGATCAGAAATATCATATAAAGCGCAGTCACACCTAGCGGGCTCTTCAACGATAGAGAGATTACAATCAAATCCTATCTTGCCCTCACACAAGACATGTTTACTTTCCATCAGAGATAATTGGATACCAAGCTGGAACAAGACCCCTGGCTGATTTTTTTCCTCCCTCACCAAGAATGCTGAGGCTAGTTGTAACACCTCAACTACTGGCCTGGATGAGATTAGCTAATTCAGTACAGAGCAGAGGTCAAACCTATCATTGTTCAAATCGACATAGGTTGGTGGACTCCAGACAATGAATTTACCAATGAGACATCATGGGACATCTTCACATTTTTGATAAGCTTTATAAATCTGACTCAGTGCTCCTCTATACTTTTCTGTGAATCGGTTTGTGCTGAGAGAAAAAGAATGAGTTTATATATGATCAGTTACCTCTCAAAGGCTGAATGAATTTGATTTAATTTAATTTAATTTACATAGGTGCTAAACTTGATCATTTGGGTATTTGTCCCCTACCTCCCTGTCTTCAGAACCTGCCATAAGACCTTAGTTTTTTGACTGCACATTCAGCTACCTGTTCTCCCCTCATCCCTTCTCATGTTTGGGTTTCCATTCAGCTGTGTGAAACGCTTTGATATATCCTACCTATATGTACATCGCTAAGGTTATTCTGTCTGTAGCAATGGTACAATTAGCATCAGATAATGTTCCTGCTCCTGATAGCTATCCAGTAATACTTGCTGATTGTGAACACTTCTTGAAGGCAACAGCTTGATCTCAGTAGTGATTTCCCCTTTGTCTAATAGTCTGCTGATACTCAGTGTCTCAGTGTCAAGGTTCACACATGGCTATTTGGGCAATTTTAAAAAATATATATTTTATTTGGTCAGCTGGGTGTCTGACACATGCAGAAACCAATCGCCATGTTTAAGAGTATCCAAATCAAGCTGAGATTTGCATGCATGAAAATCCCAGAGAGAGAGTGTTGGAATGGAATCCCTGGAGGGACACATCCTGTTCACCTAATTCCAGAAAGTATTAGGCACAGGTTGCAAGATCCAAGGCTTGAGAACCTCAGAGTGTGCAAGGACCCCAAAAAGATGTCCAGGAACACGAAAACATGCCACAAAAAGAGTTCTAACGCTTTGAGAAAAGGGGAGGAGAAAATTGGTGAAGGAACTTTGCTGAACAAACATCTGATCACAATTTTGGAATTGAAATTAATAAATAATTATTATAGAAGGAAAATAAGGGGAAGTGTTCGGTTAATGTAAAGCCTTTTGGGTTTTGAAATGTATTGTTTTTAAAACGGAGGCATAATATGAATGCATCCAGGTTAACAATACTCTGACGTGAATCATATTCTTTTTTTTCAGATGTCACCGAAGAGAGCCCCACCAAAGGTAATCATTCTGTTGCGTAGACAGTTCATCAGCTTGATAGCATTTTTCTTGTTTTAAAAAAAAATCAATAAATGGAAAGTCCTATACAGCTGGGTCCTTGCAGCAGGCTTTTGTTTACAGTTAATACTTGGTTTGCTAGAATGTTAAGATAGCATATGAGCAACTTTTTTGTATGATTAACAGGTGCATTAGGAACAGCATTTGATAAGTCACCTGCATTAAATATAAATATCGGACCAAGATCTTGTGTTCTGTACCCCCATCTTTTTCTGAGCCGCATCATTGCCTTTATTCCTCAATTGTATTTGGTGATCATCATGGCTCCCTTTCTCGTCACTACTGCAGGCTAAGTCCGGAGCAGGTACAGCTATCACTAAACTTATTTGGGTAAGGTGTAAGATCTGTATTTTCACAATCATCAAGGTCACACTGGCTAACCATAAATCATCATCCAAAGGTGGACCGTCACCAAAATACATCTGCATTATTGGAAGTTTCAATTCCATCTCATCATTTAATTGTTTTTGGTGATATTTTACCATTATATAAACTTACTCCCCCCCTCGCCCCAAACCCCCTCCTTCCCCAATACTTACCTAACCCCAAAGACAACGGCTGCATGCTGCCAGGTGTGGTGGCAAAATAGTCAAGCTGATCGCTTCAACAGGCGTTTGCTTCATATCACTACAGTCGTCAATCCAAGTCACTAAAAGTAGCTTACAATCTGCCAATTGTAATTGGATTTTAACAAGTGAACTTTCTGATGGGGGAATCCACCTTAGAGCAAAACTGGGCAATTGCTCTGAATCACTCTATGGTAAGTATGATGCATCCTAAATATTGTGAATGGAGCAATACTAGTACTGGAGGTGTAAGGTATATTTGAAACACAAAACCAGCTGATGGTGGGCAGTATATACGTGAGCAGTTTTTAATGGCCGTAATTCTGAAACAGCCTCTTCTCCCCCATCCCCAGCCCTGAGGGAGATTGAAAAATACAACTGGGTAAAAGCTCCTCCTGGGTGTAAAGTTAATCTATTTGTGTAGTGTTTCATAAACTCCAGAATTTGGCAAATTAAAAGCTTAAAAGAAATTGGGAAATTCTTAAAAGAACGTGCAGAAGTAAGGCTGAATTTGCGAATCTGCCAAATTGTGGATGCTCTGAGATACTAAATAGAATAATTCTAGACACAGGCGGAATTTCTCCCCAGTGTTTCTTAGTAATAACAAATTGGATAACGCACCAACTTTGTAAAACAAGGTCACACCCTCAGGCAGTGTTTAATTATCAACTAGAAATTGCCTAACAAAGTTGGTGTGAGTGGGTGGGGGCATGGGAGGGAAGCAGGCTACAACTGAGACAGTGACATGGCAGAATTTCCAATGATGTGATTATATCACTGGTGATAATTATCCCATTGAATATTGCTTTTTCACCCCCTGTTACTGCGCTACAATAAAAATAACTATTATTTGATTTAGTTACTCAGCGTACGGTATTATCTACCAGCTATCATGCATCATGGAAGTGACCCTTCTAATTTAATGATACGTTGCATAATTAAATGCTTTCTTGGCTGCTCTTCCTGCAACTAACGTCCTGAAATTAGCGATGAATTGCAATGTCAAGGCAAAAAATACTCAGATAGTTTATTTCTTTCCCTGCTAAAGCAGTACGAGATGTCTCCTGGTGTGTAACAGAATGAGTTCTCTCTGGTTAGTTTACTGCAGTTCCATGTGCAGAAGATGCATGTAACTGCAACCTGGAGAGTGTGATAATTCAGTTAACCCTTTATTTGGTATTTGTTGGTATTTGCTGAACAGTTAACCAGGTTAAGACACTGTCGTGAGAGCATGGCCTAGCTTTGAGTACAGCAAACAAAAAAGTACTGCCACACTAGAGCGAAATTAGGATCTAAGAAATGTTTCAGAAGAAACGTGTAAATGCTATAAGCCTGAACATTGGCTTCAGGCTGTTGGCTTTATCTGGCTGGGCTAATCATTTATTCTAAGAGAGTGAAGGGACATTGGTCTCTGGTATTATTATGTTGGCTCCTGTCTATAAGGTAAGTTCATCAATAAGGTAAGTTCGCCAATGGTTTGCGTTTCTTTCTACTAAGGCTTCAGCTGATATCGTGATCTTGTGCTGAAGATTAAATCTGGGCTTCTCGAGACTAAGTTAACCTGCATTATCACAGAGTCAAACTAATTGTACATAGTTCACTTAAAATAAATCTAAAATAATCAGTGCCCCCATCATCGTGTATGAATAATTGATCACCAGCCACTGATGTTTTTCTTCATGTGACTGTGATCTCTGCTGTTATCAGAATTGGCACATTCTATTATTTGAGTTCTAAATGTTTCAGTGCCTCTGAAAAAGATGTGCTGCAATCCCATCTTCGAATATTTATTCTCAGCTACCTTTCATCCACGTACAATGTTGCCAAACCATCACCACTGCAGAGGGCTACACAACCTTTGTGGCATATATTTTGTGCAGCACGACTTCTATTCACCTTCTAACTGATCTCGAGGTCTTCATCCAATTAACTCTAAATGTTCTATCAGCTGTCAAATTAAAGGATTGCTGCCATCAGGAATTTTTGGATTGCAAGCCTCATTCAAAACAAAACACTTATTAGGCAGCATCCAACTCTAACATGAGCGATAAGCAAATACAGCCATGACTTTTTCAGGAATTCTATATCAATGTCACATTCTTTCAAGACTTGCCAAATAAATAGAAATACTGAAAATATAATGACTGACATTAGTACTGATATCTTTCTATTAGTAGTAAATTTGCTCACCTCTCCGCTTTCCACACTAATGTGCCTGTCGGTATAGTATTTATGCAAGCACTCTCAAGCAACCACTGTAATCAGATTTTTTACATACGACTCCACTTTCTGTAGTTTATTTATTTACTGTTCCGAACTTTTAAAGAAAACTCCTATTCCTTTTCTGCCCTTTCTGAGTCGTCCTGTGTCAGGACATGAGACAAGTCAAGCTGAACCCATTGCTAGCAGTCTAATGCTCGAATCCTTTTATCAGCAATATGTGTACTGTCCTTCCAGTTTCTCATCACTTCTGCATAGAAGTCCTCAGGGTGGATGGTGAATTCACCCTGTGGTGCGGGGGGGGGAACAGGGCCAATTGGAACCATGCTCGAGACTCAACACACATGCTACGCTACGCAACTGTGTCTTCTGCTTTCGTTGGTTACATTTTTATTGAGAGAAACTCACATAATGGGCTCTATCCTGAAGTAAGAGAAATGGAGTCTCCTCATGGGAAAATAAATTCACAGGAAACTGCAAAGTTCAGTGAACTCAGCAGACTATTAAATCAGCTCTTCTGAAATTAGAACCAAACAATGGGTCACAAATCACAATTTTTATAATGAGAAACTGCTTTGAACATAGTTGTGATTTTCAAAAAAAGTTTGTAAAGGCCTCCTACACTTTCGATGTGTTGAACCCTTTAATCATTTCAATACTTAAATGGAATATAGCAATACATAGAATAGTTAGGAAATATGCCAATTGTACAAATCACTTGCTTTCTGGAATATTTATTTTATTTCACCAGTGTTTGCATATGCTGTGTGTATGTAAAGTAGCTATCGAACCCTTGAAGAGAAGGTATTCACAAAAAGAGAATCTATTTTCTTTGCTTGTAACATTATACAGGAGTCAAGTTCTGTGAATATATCAAACCATCTTAATATTTTAATTTACATTTTTGTTTGCTTAAAGGGTGCTGATGGACAAAGACCCGCAGGACATGGGGCAAGTGGCAAAATGTTGGATGCTTCGAAGTCAAAGGAGTCTTTCAGAGGACATAAGGATGGATCAGGCACCCTTTCCAAAATCTTCAAACTGGTAAATAATCATAAGGAACACAGCTCATAACACAACTTATTACGAAGTGCAGAAATCAGGAATTTCTTTGTCAGAGTTAGACTTAGTTTTAAGCAGTGGGATAATCCCTGTTAAGTTCTATTCCTCAGTGCACATTACTTGTTAGCTTTTCAGCTTGTAGTTGGCATGTTCATTTCTTGTCAGTACAATACGCTTAGAAAACTTCAAAACTGAGGCTGTGAGTTCATTCAGCCTTCACTTGTTATAGTTGTCCAAACCTTCATACTCACACAGGCACTAATTTTGATGGAAAGGCATCATATGATCAAGGACCCTGCTTTAACCATGCTTTTATTGCCGTAAAGCTATCTATATACAATTATAGCATACAGATATTATTACATCATTAAAGGCCTCGTGTTCACAATGTGGTCTAACTTGCGGTTTAAAGGACTGACTAGGAGTTACACAAATGTGACAGAGATGGGGTGGGGGAAGGGAGAGGGATTCTGCCTCTAACACCATTCTCAGTGTCAATTCCTATGAAAATGGGTTGTGCATTTCACTTCTGGCTCTCAAACAGCAGATTTTGACTGCCAGATAGTGGGATTTATACTACCCTGAGTGAAGGGTGCTAGATGTTGTTATTATTTACTCTTAGTATTTTGTTCAGCAAAACGCATCTATTCCACTAACTGTGTACTCAGGCCAAAAATATCAGTGAAAGTTGCTGTTATTAGATTATACCATGACTGGAAAGCGGAAGAAGTTTGTGGGTTCAACCCCCACATCAGCATTTGAACTCAGAGTCCAGACAATGCAGTGCTTGGGAGAACTGTATTCTCAAAGGTGCCATCCTTCATATGAGACATTGAACTGAGATCCCTTTTACGCCTGTTTGGGTGGATGTTAAAGATCTCACGGCACTGTTCAAAAAGAGAAGTTAACCTACTTAATAACAGGATTGAATATATATCTAGATTTAATTGTTTTATTGCAGCGTACGTTTCTCATTAAACACTGCTTAAATTAGCCTCTTGAACAAACTACCTAGATTCAGAAGTGAATTTGTTTTCCATTTCTGTGTTGTGAAAAGGCTCGCTCCTATAACTTGTTTATGAGATAACTCATACAGAGAACATCATGAACCTCATTAAGATCATAGCCAAGAGATTTAGAAGAATTGATAGACAGTGGAAAAATCTTTACTTGTGTCTGTGGTTTAGGAATAATGACTGCTGCCACTGTTTTTTCCACTTGTTCTTTTCTACTACATACAAACAGTGCTTCTTATAATGCAATACATTGTTGTATACAAACAATTGAAGTACAATCACAAAGATCAGAATTGTATGGTAAACTTGGGTTATCTAAAAGGTCAAACCGAGAACAATGTAGGATTTTAGAAAACTTAAACTCTGTTGTAAAAAAAGGCTGAGCATTGATTCACAAAGCTAAAACCACACACACATATATACACTTAGGACTGAAATTATTTGTGGAGTCCTGTAGCTCAGTGGTTAGCGCACTCGCCTTGCAAGCGAGAGACCCGGGTTTGATTCCCAGCAGGGCAAAATGTTGGGTAAATCTCCTTAATCCACACACACGCCTCTGTTTACCTAACAGTAAGTAGGAACCTGGTTGTCAGTCAATTGGCAGATTACTTTTCCGGGGTAATAATTCTTTGAAAAAAGGATAATAATAAATTGGTCACTCAAACGACTGTTTGTGAGACACTGCTGTGCGCAATCACAGCAGGCAATTTGTACACGGCAATCTACACAAATAGTCGTGAAGTGAATGACTCATTTTATCTTGGAATTGTTGGCTAGGACACCAGCAGAAACTCCCTTTTCTTTTCAGAGAGTGCCATGGTATTCTTTAACATTTATCTGAATAGGCAGACGGGACCTTGGTTTAACATTTCTCCAAAGAACGGCACTTCCTACAATGAAACATTTCCCCAGCACTGCACTGGAGTGTCAACCTTGACTATACGAGTTCAAACATCATCACAGTGCATTCTGGGGCCGACAGCTTAAATAATATTTAAAATCCCAAATAGTGATTCAAAACACATACAGAAAAAGAAAAAACACAGCAAAGCAGAACAGATTTTGGACTTAGAATTAATGAACCGCTACACTATTAATTTCATTTAAAATAATTAGCATGTACTAACCAATGAGGGCACTAGTATTTGCATGAGCAGAAACACGATTTGAATTGGACTTTGTCTGTCTGATGTAAGCTTCAACTTCAGCCCAGCCAAGTACTGCAGTGAACAGCTCTTCCAAAAAGGGGACAGACATTGAAGCTGCTGGGAAGTCTGCTGATCAGCCAGATACGTCCAAATCAGCTGCGAGCACTGCTTCAGAAAACACCAAGCAGCTGACCCTGACAAGTGACAGAAAACAGCTGGTCAGCATCAGCCTGTATTATGCTGACATTCAAACATTGCCACAGTGCCTGCATGGCTCTGTCTCAAGAACCCGCTAGCTTTCTGGGTCAGGGACCAGAGGAACAAGGGAGAAACAGGCTAAGAAACTTGGGAAGAGAAGGTTGTTTGCAGAATTCTTTAAACGGCTGGTACATTGCTTTCTTCTTCTGAAGCAAAGTGATAGCTGTTAGTTTAAGCTTGTGGTCAATGAATGGCTCCATAGTACAACCCAATCATGAGCAGTATCATCAAACAGGGATTCTCCCTCAATTGAGATTCATGGTCAAATCTCTCCCAGATAAAAGTGACACATTTTAGCCAGGTATTCAGTATGGTTAGAGTGTATGGTATTTTGGGGCTTGCTGTGGCAGCGTTTCATCAGGCTATCACTGTTAGGTGCCCATCTAGCGGTCTGGTCAAGAACCAAAGAAATTCACAACAAAAGCAGTGAAAGTAGGACAAAAGTTGAGCTTCAGATTTGTCCTAGTTCCTGGATAATGGAGGGAAGAGTAGATGAGGCTGTTGTATTGTGATTCATAGTAGACAGCCACAGAACTAGTCACCAGTTGCCAGAAGTCTGCAGCCATCACCCATGTACAGGAAGACCTGTACAGGAGGAAGACAATGTGCTCTTCAGTGGAAAGTAAGAGACTTAAATTAAAACTATTTCAAATGTGATGCCCTCATACAAGAAAAAAACAATAACCATAGGTTACAGATTTAGAGGAATCCTTTACATACAAGAAAATAACCCTTTTGTATATACCAATAAGATGTTTTGTAATTTTGTTTCCATTACTTCTAGTGGAACTATCTAGGTTGAGCACCTGGATGTAAGAACGTGGGGCCTCATTTGAAGCAACCTTCTGACTAACCTCTACATTTCGGGCCAAATGTGTTTTCAATAGTTGGCAATCTAAAATATGAATTTTCACACTTGCGCTTTTTTTAAATGTAATCTCTGAGATAAAAACATTATTTTTGTGTTTGTGTTTTTTGTGTTGGAAGACAAATGCAACAAATGAGGCGTAAAATGTTGAACAAAAGCTTAAATGACTAACCCTAATACAGCAATTGGTCTCAGAGTCAGATGATGATGGTTACAATTGATCCACGTGTGAATACACTATAGTCGTATTGGTGCAATGCCAAATTGCACGCAGAGAAACGTATTGTGATATTTTAAATGTAATTGGGGGAAGTGGTCAAGAATTTAACTAAAATTTTAAATTGACGCTGACAAGAAATTAATTTTAGAATAACAGTGTGTGACAGGTTGTATTCTGCACTTACAGTCTTACAAGGATTTGCCACAAGAAATTGTCCAAGCTGCTTGGGAGATAGCCTGACAGACTACATTTAGGATAGCAGTGGATCTGAAAATGTTTACTGGTTCCCCAAAACTCATTCATATAACCCAACTTGTGACTTTCATTCTCAATCCATATTGGGAGTTGGTTACTCTTCAGTCAGTGTGACAGGTGTAATCTAAGTACAGCTACTATGTCAAATTTCTTAATTAAGAAGTACTGCAAAATTCATCTTTACTCTTCTGATTCTGCCTGCTGCGTCTTGTACACAAAGCTTTCTCATATTCTGCTTTATTTGTTCTCAAAACAGGGGAAGAAAGAAGGTGAAGGCTCACACGCCAGACGTTAATTCTGCATCAACAAATTCAACGGAAGGAGTGCTTCATAAAGACAAAATCCTCGCTCAGTGTCCTATTTTAACATCCTTTCCATTTCAAGCATTAACTAGCACTTCTCCAAAACAAGACCTGCCATACCAATACAATCCATACTTACTGGTTGTATTGAGTTGTATATGCAGTAGTATATTGAATGGAATGTTATTACTTACACTTGCTACACCTTACCAATAGTTAAGTTATTGCAACAGTCTTAAAAAGAACACTTGAGATGTGAAGGTGCTGATATTTAAATGCATTTTGCCAATGATAATTTCCATGGTAATGGAAATAAAAATAAGGAACTTAAACGTTTTACAATGAAGTTGATCACTTCATAACACAGGCATGGTTATTTTCCACTGCATCTATTAGCAGACTTTACTGTAAAGAGTATTAAGATGTTTGTTAATATTTTACTAAACAGGTTAGCCCTACCAAAAACAAAATGTTCTCTCCCTGTTGCTGTGCAGATCAATAAGCTCTATTTTGAACATAAATGCCAATGGTTGCTTCTGTCATAAGAACTGTTCACTGGGGCTTTACATGAGCAAAGCTGCAGAAACATTGCAATCAATGTAAATCCAAGGGGGGATATTAAATGGGGTGACTGCCCTGCTCGTGTAATGGAGATAAAGCAGCATTATATGTCATAAACCTATGAACACTAAATAAGAGTACTATATTAACTTTAATTTAATGAAAAAGCAGCCTGTAAAAGCAATAACCTGAAACTAATCCTAATCCTTAGCACTGAGAAAGATTGTTTGACAAACTAATTTCCATAGGTACGGGTTTAGACTTTCTGAAATTACCATTCCTATGTGAGTGCTCTTTTGAATTGCACTGTTTTGTAACTAAAATAATATTTTACTATGTTTATAGAAACTACATGTGGATACTTATTGCAATTTATCAAATACGTCCCTGCCATTTTCTTTCAGTAATGCTATTATGCTGTTTCCGTTTCCCTCTCCCTCACCTCCCTCACTAACAGCGGTCACTATTGCATAAAATAGTCACTTTGGAGTCAATATCCTCAGACATTGGAAGCTCAAGGGATCATTTCCTCATCTCATGTATGAAATAACTTGTGCCCAGTCCAAACCTCAGTCACAAGATTAACATCTCTACACTTCTAAATCATACTAATGCGTCAAGTACATTCCAAGAATACAACACAATAAGCCAAATAGTTTCACAGTGTCTGAGTGTGGTTAGCATTCTATTGGACCCTGATAGAATGAATTTAGTGCCAGGCATGTTCAACTGATGTAGAACAAGTGCAGCCCCTCAGTACTGAATCCTGCTGCTGCTTTTCTATTAGACATGTTTATTCCCTCAGTTGTAATCTGTTGTTGTGTGGATGAGATGAAATGCATTCCATCCACCCTCCTGCCTTCTCACGTGATGTGTTCTCTAATTGGTTACACTGAAAGTTCACCTGCATGGGGTATGTGGAGAGCAATATTAACTTTCCTTTTACACTTTATTGCCAGTTTGAGAGTGGTAACATGCTTTTAGAGTATACATACTAGAAAACAAAGCTGAATGGACATATGTGACAAAATGTTGTTCTGAATGTATGTAAAAATAATGCACTTAAACATTCTGTGTTTGTCTATGGCAAAATAAAATGACTATTGTAATTCAGTTTGAAAGATCTTCGATGTGGTTTATTCTGGATAGTTAATGTTTGTTGCGTATGAGCCTAAATACTGCAGACATTTGAAACATTCAAAATAGCTGCAAGTTTGCCTGTGGAAGTGCAAATACACAGATGTTGCTTTTGTTATGATGAAAGTTTCCAGTCACCTAGGCACAAACATATATGAAGTCAACAGGTTGGTTAATTTCTCATTCCATATTTTCTTGTGATCTCTCCAGTGGTCAAGCAAAATATCCTCACTGGCCGATGTCTAAAAACTTTCTGGAGCCCGAAAGCAAATGATCTAGAAAGAGAACAATTTTGTTTATTGAATCAGTATACTAATGCCTAGACTTGAACTCCTATTCTTGAGTCCCAATACTACATATAATACTACGGAAGTTACTAACTGTCCGACATGCCATCCTTCAGATAAGACATTAAACCAAGGTCCTGTTTGCCTGTTTTTCGGGTGGACGTTGAGGATCCTCTAATACTACTTGAAAAAGGAGTACCTTCTGCCAGCTGGGTCAACAATCCTCCATATCAATTGATCATTCTGTTCATGGCTACGAACATGGCTGTTTGTAGGACCCTGTGGTGTTTGAAATGGGGGCCACATGTCCTCAGTCAAAAAANCAGGAGAACATTAGGGGAATAAAACAAACACCCAGAAATCCGGTATGAATTCAGTGAAAATCCGCTTAACGCACACATCTCTAAACTGGCTTCACTGCAGTACAAGTTCGGCAGTGTTTGCGCTAGAACTAGCTTTTCTGAGCATTACTGGATCCAGAATTGCAGCAAGCTTTCACCAGTTTTAGGGTGTATGTACAATCACAAATTCAAATTTTAACAATGAAATTCGGTTGAAACCATTCTTTCGCAGATGCTACTTGCTGAAAATCTGTTAAAACTAAAATGGCTCCCAACAACAACTTGTATTTATATAGCGTCCTTCACTTGGGGTAGTGTCCCGGAAAGCTTCAGTGGCGGAGTCTGACTATGAGCCAGGGGGAGCGGGGAGTGACTGTAAGCACGATCAAAAAGGAAGGTCTTTAGGCGGGATTTGAAGATAATAATCCTTGCATTTGATATAGCGCTTTTCATGTCTTCTAGCCATCTCAAAGCGCTTCACAGAATATACTGTAAAGTGAATTGACCGTATATTTGTGGGCGAAACGCAGCAACCAATTGTATACAGCAGTGTCCCACAGTCATGGATTGAAAATGACCAAATTATTATTGTTTGTTTTGGAGGGATTATTTGGAGGGAAGATGGGGTGGGAGGGAGGAAGGTGGAGGGAGAGTTCTAGAGTTTCAAGGCGTAGTGACTGAAGGCATGGCCACCGATGGTGGAACAGAGGGCACGAGGGACAAATAGGTCGTAACCAGCCGAGTAGAGGCAGTGGGTGGTGGAGTGGGGAGCTAAGCAGGTTGGATTTATAAACCCATGGCTTACTGGCAGGTGCACGTTCATAAGCTTTCAGCTAGGTCTCATCTTTGCAGCATTTCTGACACTAGGTACTGTGTATCATGATACACCTCCATCAACTAAGCTTCTAGGTTTCTTCCTTCCGCAGCCCCTCCCCCCCCACCCCCCCCCACACACACACACACGTTAAAAGACAATGAGCATTAGGGTAATGATGGTGTAGAGTGGAGGGTATTCGCCAGACAAAAATAAAATATGCTCTCAAGTACTATCATAATTTTATTGTATCCAAAACATCTGCCGTGGCACATTACCCACCTTCGGTTTTGTTTTCCTCATACTGTTAAAGGATGGGGCTGGGTCCATAAGGGGAATCTGCACAACACTCTCCTTTAAGAATCTGGCCTTTCACAATAACCATGTGAACATATGGTTTCCCTGTCGCAAGACCCACCTCATTTCGGACTGGCCCCTGAACTGGTTGAAGACGCAAGAGATAACAAGTGATCATAAGGTTCTACAGAACATTGATCTCTCACTTACAGAATACCCATCACGGAAGACTAAGTGCAGCTTATCATTCCTCATATCTGATCCCTCTAATACTGGAGATCATCCTCAATGCTCTTCTGTGCACTGCTTCCAGGGCCCTGGAATCCCTTAGAATATAATATTAAAAAAGTATAATCCAAGTGTGAGCTGCTCAGAGCACGGTAGCTGGAAGTCTTCATGTACTAGGAGGTGTACTTCAGTCATAGTCTTTGTTGCCTGGAAATAGTACCTATTTTGTGTCATAATAATATTTATAGCACCTTATCACATCTTTCAGACGTCTCAAAGCGCTTCACAAATATACTGTAAGGTGAAATGACTATTTTGTGGCCAAATTGCGGCAGTCAATTGTGCACAGCAGGGTCCCACTAACAGTCGTAGATTGAGTGACCAAGTTATTTTTTAAAAACTATATTTTTTGAAGTTATTATAAAGAAACTTGCCTAAAATGTTGCCCTACCTGGGAATCAAACCCAGGTCCTCTCACTTGCAAGGTGAGTGAAGCTACAGCACTCCTATGTCACTAACCCCTTGGGCTGCCTTCTCTCCTCCTCCATCGCCAAAGGGTGTCCACAAAGTCATGTTACCCATGTTTTTTTCTGCAGTACATTGACAAACAACTGAAATATGTGGAAGAATGATGATAATTGTATTTAGAAATCAAGAGCCTCTTTTTGTGACAGCCTAGAATCAGTATTTTCATCAGCAGTGCTTACACTCTAAGGTTCTTGGATAATGGGAAATCTCATGAAAAGTGCAGGTCATAAAATTCCCTAAACAAACACTTCTCAGACAACCATTCCCCCATCGCCCCAAAAACAGAAGACACGACCATTCCAAAATAATACAGAATCCAATACAAACTAATTACCAAAAAAACAATTGTATTATTTGAAATATTTTCATTTAAATACACGTACTTACAAAAAGAATGTCGTCCCTTTGTCACAAACTATACAATCTATATACAAAGTACTTAAAACGTTTCAACAAAAAAANCTCAGCACCATCAGAGACTGATGAAAAGTCTGTGTTGTATCAAATATCATTTGAGATAGTTTGTCATATTTACATGCAGCCAGTTTTTTGTACAAATGTCACAGATTTCTTTTACAGTGTCCTGTTTTTTACTTTGCCAAAAAGTTTTTCCTTTCCCCAGTTTTGAAAACAAATAAAAATGGTAGTCAAAAGGCTAGACAGAAAAAATGTAACACTGTTATGTAGTAAAGTACAACAAAACAATACTAACTGAAGTGCTGATTTAGTAACAGTGCAAACTGAAAATTTCTAAACAATTGAATGCAAACATTTACAAAGTTCCCAACTGAGAGACTATAGCTTTATGAAATGCACAACATACTGTGCTATGCAAGTAAAGGGGGGGGGGGAGAGAGCAGAAACCCTACAAAAATAATCTTTGGAATGGAACAAAATTCAACCATACACAATTGGCCGTGTATCTTATACATTAAAAATTAGATATTTTGCATGTCAGTCAATAGTGGCAACTCATATAATAACGACTGATGAGTTTAAATGCTCCAAGCAGCTACCAGGCGTATTAGAATTAAATGTTCTCTGAAAATATGTCAGCCGTTTGCTCTTATAGCAGCGCAGAAAGACATAAAATTGTCGGTGTGTAAAGAGATGCAACAAGGCCCACTGTGCAATACTCTAAATGAATAATCAGGCCAATTGTAACTGAAGTCTACAGTACTCGTTTAGATACATGTAGAAATGCCTATACCATAACAGTGATTACTCAAATCCCTGCACAGCAGGAATGAATACACTGTAGTTTCCTGAATGGATCTTCAACATGGATCTTGTAGGTAATGAGTGCAGTGAGCTGCCTTTCTCTTTTTATAACTTGTAGATCCCATCCTTTGCTTCAGAGTACCACTTAACATTGCATGCTGATTTAAAGTACATCAAGTGCTTCATGAATTTAGCCCTTTATCTCACAGTCAGTTGCCCGTTTGGTACTTCCACACTGGCGAACAAACACGGCGGCACTTTGAACAGTGCTCAAACCAAGTGTTGTACTTTCTAAGCTTCCGATGATTCTGAATGAAGGCCACACAAAGTAATTCAAGGCACAGCCCGAGACACTGCTGCTTGAATGAGGGCTGGACACTTCAAAGTGAGTTAAATCAATTAAATACGTTCGCTATCCCACAATGCCATTCATTGGAGGACTCAGGGATAACTTCAACTACATCAAGACTGCGACTTGCATCATCTCCTTCTAGCTCTTGGCTGCTTCCAGTGTCCTGTCCACTCCCTGTACAATTAAAATAAAAGTTGAAATTCAGGAAAATTTAAAAAGGTCACGTGAAACAAGTTATTAAATATCCTCAATCCTAAACCACACATCTTATTAACCGTGTACGATTTATAGCATTGTGGTTACATCCTGTATGCCCCTCCCCCCAAAACAGGTCATTCAGACTTTCATTATGTTCTGTATATTAATTTTAGTAATCAAACAAATGGTCAAACTTCTATCATAGACATGAGACGATTAATGAAAATGCAATCTTTTCTTTTTAGCTGTGAATCCAACTAAGGGTAGGATGGTAGACACAGAATCCATTGTAGCTTTAAAGAGGGAAGCAGACAGGAGAGAAAGATAAGGGCTTGAAGGGTGATGGGGATTAGGTGGGGCGATGGGAATTAAGTTGCCTCCTTGCTCTGTGAGCTGGTGCAGACTTGAGGGGCCGAATAGCCTCCTTCTGCGCTGTAGGTTTCTAGGTTTCTAACAGTGTTACATACAGCATCTCTGATCAGAAAGTGCTGCTTCCTCAAGAAAATCCCAAACATTAGAAATAACCATTGTGCTATTTATGCACATCCATAAACAGAATGAGCACACAGATGTCCAAGTGAATTAGAGGAAACCTCACAGAATACAACCAATTGCTTTTTTATAGATTTTGATTTATTTATCCAGGTTGTATATCAGTTATGTCTTCTTTGTTTTCTAAATACCTGAATTTGTCTCTAGTTTAAACCATGTCTTAGGCTTTGGTTAAAACGGCTCCCATCATGAAGTGTAGTAAAAAAGATGCTCAAATTGTGTCATGATATAACAGAGAAGACGGCAGAGCTCTGCATTACTCTGGGCCTCTTTGGTTTTGCCAGATGTGTGTCCTTGAAACCAGTTAAATTCCAAGGAGGCTCTACTTCATACACCCTTTCTACAAAACTAAGATTTAATAAAAATGTAGAATTTCCAGATTAGTTCGTTTGACTGAGCACTGAATTTGGGACAGGAGAGCTCTGAATTTGATTCATTCTGGCCCAGCGCCTTCCGACTTGAAAGGCGCTACACAAATGTAATTTGTTGATGTTGTTATTTATTGTTAGACAGTGCTCATTTTATTAACATCAAAGATACCAGGTGGATCCACAGGGACTCCTGTCCCAAATTCAGTGCTCAATTAAATGAACTAATCTGGAAGCTCTGCATTTTTATTAATCTTCTCAAGTCTGATAGAAGTTTTATCTTCCTCAGGTTAATGGGTGCAAGTTTGTTAAAATTAGCATACAGTTGATTGACTCCTCTCATTTTACTTTCCTCATTTATTCTAGGTCAGCCTAAGGCTGTCAACGTAGATAATACACAATAGGGCTGACATTCTGGTTGGCATTACATGCAGTAATGGGTTAATAATTATGGGTTAATACTAATAATGGGTTTGTAATAGTTACACGTGCTATATCTAGCTAAAAAAATAGTCACCACACTTCAGAGTAAATCCTGTGAAGCGCTTTAACAACAACAAAATTACATTTGTATAGTGCCTTTTACGTCAGGACATCCCAAGGCACTGGTATGTCCTCTTGAGGTGAAGGAGCTGTATCAAAATGCAAGGATTTTTTAAAAGTGACTTTGTCGGTTTGGTTAAAACGTAAACTTTGGTAATAATGGTAAACTTTGGTTATAATGGAAGAGTTCCATTGGTGGCAGACACATTTACATCACTATTTTGCCACTACTTATTGTGACAACCTGAATTCCAGCCCCAAGAGGAGAACTGAAGAGGAATTCCAATGTGCTGCCTGACTGGACCACCTCAAAATATACTCAGAATAATATGAAATTAACAGCACACTGCAGCAATTTTTAACTGAATGCTTGCTTGACATTCAAATTACTTTACACTAACCAGGAAAACCATGTGCTCTTTTCATATGTATCTTCATATTTCCCTTCTGTGTGAAAGAGATTCCGCAGTAGTCACATTTATATGGTCTCTCGCCGGTGTGCTTCTTCATATGTACTTGCAGGGCATTTTTCTGGTTAAAGGCTTTTTCACAGAGGCTACACTGAAATGGTCGTTCACCTGAAAAATAGCAGAAAACATTTGTCAGTACTATTTTCAATTTCAAATGCCATTGTATGTGAAGGGCGCTACATAAATGCAAGTTGTTGTAGGCTCAAATGAATGTTTCAAGACCTTTTGACAATAGTCTTCAGGTCCTCGGAATTATTAGTAGTGATACAGGACAAGACTGTAGGGCAGCCAGCTAGAGCCTCCTTAATACTCCACACCACTGATTCTCTATTTAACCTGTGATGTTGGGGGAAACATCAAACAGAGTCTAGGCTGAGAACAAAGGAAAATAAAACATTAAGAGTTAATTTTCTAATTAACTATTAATCAGCTATTCACGATATCTGAGTGTTTTATCACTATGATATTAGTGTTTTTCACAGCTCAATACGTGAGCGGATAGTCACTTTCCATGATGTCGGATCACTATCCAGGACTCAGAAGAATGATGCCCCCCTTTAATTTAATGGGAGCCGGCTGAAGACAGACCCAATACTCTGGCATAATGCTCTGACAAATATTTCTACCATAGATATATATATGTATATAAACACACTTATTAAATGTTTTCAGAGTGAATTTCTTATATTGAAAATAGCCATTAAAATTTTATTTATATAAAATAACTCCTTTGGTTCATAACAAAGTGACATAAATATAGAGCTGCCAACAGATATAAAACAAATGAGTTTAGGAAATATGTCTTTGCACAGAAGGTGGCAGAACTTGGGCATTCACTGCTGGAGACTATGGTTAAAGCAGAAAGCATCAATGTAGTTAACAGGAAACACAAGCCATACATGGGAGTGGGCATTTGGATGTGTGGAGACTCAATTGAAGTATAAACACCGGCAGGGACTAGATGGGTCAAATAGGCTGTACATTCCATGTAATTCTTTGGGATATAAATACAATGCATGTACTCCATATTAAGACTACGAAAGAACACTTAAACCAGTTTAATTACAGTACAATGCAGTTCAGCTTTTATGATGACAAAACTACTGCCTAATGTGAAATAGAATGTAGAAGTAGAGATAACTGAAGAGAATAATCAATAGGAATACATTTCCTGGTACTGCATTCACAACACTTCACAGAATTGCACAGATTATAATTTGAATAATGTTTTCCAGCGAATCATGTTAATACTTGATATATTTGAGAATTAATCCATTCAGACATGAAAGCATTTGAAAATAGATTTAATTAATCACGCACATGCAATCAAACAAATTAACCAAATTTAAAACCTAACATTCTTCAAAGAAACATTGATCTCATTTACATAAAGCTAATGTAATATTAGCAAGAATCAATGGGACAACACACTTCTCTATCTGACATAATATTGGACTTGAATTTTTCAAGTCTATTTCCACACACAGAACTAACTTCTTGGGCAGAGTATCGGAAAGCAACCAGCGCCTGTGAACATATACCCCAGAAGGGAATATGTTCACAGTGTGTGGGGAGACCTGGGTTCGATTCCCGGCAGGGCAAAAGTTTGGCGAGTTTCCTTACTCCACGCCTCTGTTTACCTAGCAGTAAGAAGGAACCCAGTTGCTAGCCGATTAGTGGATCGCTTTTCTGGCGTTAATAATTCCTTTAAAAAACAAATAAATAATAAATTTGTCACTAAATCCACAACTGTTTGTGCTACACTGCTGTGTGCAATTGGCTGCCTCATTTTGTCCACAAATATACAGTCAATTCACTTTACAGTATACTCTGAAGTGCTTTGAGACATCTAGAAGACTTGATAAGGCGCTATATCAAATTCAAGGATAATTATTATTATTATTACTAAGGCACAATGGGTCAAATGGCCTCCTTCTGTGCTCTGATATTCTATAAGGAGGAGTCCAGACCAGGATGAAAAAAATGCCAGTGAGGAAAAAAAATCGTAAATAAGAATTGAACATCTTACATTTTTTTATATATAAACATATATCTATATAAAATCTCTAGTGGTATATTCCTTAAGTTTTCTAAAACTAGCTCCCTATCAAACCTTATCAAACATCTTATGAAAATCTATATACCCAACACTCACTACATACCCTTTATCAACATGCTTCGACATTTCTTCAAAGACTCTATATTAAATTTGCAAGCACAATTTCTCTTTAATAGTATTGACTGATGATAATTAATCTTAGTCCTTACGGAATTGCGGTAAACCAAAAATCACAGCCACTGGTCCATTCGAAAGCAAAGTGGAGCAGGTATTATAAATCCAACTTCCCTCTCCACACTATATACCGTCAGAAGCCAAGTGATTTTACTCCAAGCAGTAGACCTGTAGCATCAGTAAACCGAATAAATCACAGATATTGTTGTTAGACCATATGAAGTAAAAAGTGAAATACCGGTGTGGATTCGATTGTGTCTCTCCAACTGGCTTGGCTTAGCAAAGGCCTTTTCACATGATTCACACTTGTACAGTTTAGGCTTCTGGCTGCTTGGCGATGGTCCAGGTTGGTGGGTCTGAAGATGATCCTTTAAAGAAAGGTTGTTCTTTTAATTCTGCTGCAATTCCACAAAATATGCCGAAATATGTGAACGCAAACAGAGGATTGAATCATTCACTTCCACAAAAGCCACTTAGAAATCATAGTGTATTGGCATCGGAACTCTTAGTGTTTATCATTGCGACAGAACATCAACTGCAAAGCAGCAAAGAATGTACATTCCTGACTGCCCTGCAGCAGCTCAGCAAGCAAATCGATTTAATTTATTTTTTCAAAGTACATAAATCCCTTCATTTCTTTTCCTCAAGTTTCACATTTCAAAATTCAAAGCTATTGTATAAAGCTGTCAAATGTATCCTAACTATTCGTAAACAATTATAGAGTATAATTCAGATTCGTAAACAACTATTCATAAAAAATTATAGAGCAAATCTATTTTCTTCAGTATATTACTTTCAATTTAACTGTGTCCAGTTATAGGCCAGGATCTTATTAAAACACGAATACTGAAAAAGATTACCATATGCCAGGAAGTTGCATCTCACCCAAATATTTCAGTGTTCGGGTTTTATTTGTAATATTATTGTGTCAAAAAATTAACACATTGCATTGATCCAATAATTATTTTTTCTGTACACCATTTATCTATCTAATAAATTGATACAATAAGGATTTTGACACCTCCTCAGTCACTTCCATCATTGATGCATTCCAACCAAGTTCTTTCAACACCATAGGGAGGGGGGAGCAATATAACTGTAGTACATAATGTAATACTGTCACAAGGTCACAATGCAAATAAAATATGTCCTTGAAATCCGTCCGTTCAAGGTCTGTCTCGATCTTCTCCTTGACTGTGTCTTCAGTTATTCACCCAACCCCAGCATCTCACCTGAATCCAACCCGAGTACGGAGCATGTTTGTCCAATACCTTGGGTCACCCTCCCGACGTGATCGATGTGAAAGGCATTATATAAATGTGTTATTGTTTTTGTTGTCGTCCTTAGTAGCGTTGGGACTGAACATGTCCTTACTGTGATTTCTGGAAAATGATTGTTTCAGAACTAAAATGCCGACTGACAGCTTTGCTTTCAGTTAGCAAGATAGTAAAAGTCTTTAATCCTGTTTGAGAGTAAGGTTTCACTTTTTAATTTTAACCTGTAATCTTCCTTTTAAGATTCCCCAACTAAATGAAATAGATTTTCGCTGTATACCTTGACATGCCCCTTTAGAATCTTAAAGACCTCTCCGATATAACCTTGCAATCGCCTCTTCCCCAATGGAAGGAAAAAAGGCCAAGTTAGCCAACCTCTCCTCATACTTATATTGACTCGTACCAGACATCATCCTAGTGAATCAATGTTACACCCTCGCCATCTCTATGACATTTTTCTACAATGGGGTTCACAACTGGCTGCAACTTTTGACCCAATACCTTGAGATGTGCTGCTCGTTTGAAGGCTTTGCTGCAGATATTGCAGATGTGGACTCGCTCCTCGCCATGGGCCTCTCTGCAGTGACGGCGTAACATGGAGCCAGAGGAGAAACTCTGGCTACAATTAGGACAGTGATTCATCTGGCTCTCGTCATCTGTCTGACTATCCTCTGTGAGACTAATGGTTGTCTCGGTCATCTGAAATACAGGTGCAAAATCAAACTAAGAAGGGTATAATTTCCATTTTTTAATTGTTCTTCTCCAAAGTTGGGAAATGGTTGTAATTTATTATGGCAAAGGCTGTTATATAAGCAGGTGCTTAGTGTTAATAACACAGTAACTGGATTACGAATAGCACAGTATTGTAAATTGTGCTGTTCTTCACAATTAATTCTGGAAACAGTTTCTAAAGCGTCTCTACAAGGATGAAAAANTTCTCCTGAAATTATAGCATCAACAACAATGGAGTGAGTATGAGGGTTAGAGTTTTTATACCCAACGTACAGCTTCAAGTTAACAAATTACACACAGAGACATACCTGGTAGCAGCCAGTCTCCTCTTGTGAACTAGCTGAGTCTTGTGGAGCTTGACTAACCAATATAACCTGTTGGTGAGTTGATCCTGTTTGGCCTGGAAGAGTGGAGTCTGTGAGCACTGTTGGAAACTGCTGACCCTGTTTTTACAAAATAAAACTACCTATTACAGACACCAATTAGATACACTTGCTTTGCTCCAATGTACTTAGAAATTTCCATAAAAAAGCCATTAATTTTCAGTCAATATAAGAAAATAATTTTTTTCAATTCTTGTATAGCTTTAAACAGACACCTAATTTAAAAAACTAATCAATAAGTCAGGTATGAAATATTCTACAGCTTCAATTAGAGAGTGATAAAAGATATTATTACATAACTGACTAATAATAATCCTTGCATTTGACGTAAGATGTTATCATGTAATCAAGATGCCTCTAAGCGATTCACAGAATATACTATAAAGTAGATTGACCGTGTATGTTGTTGGCAAAACAGGGCAGTAAATTGTGCAATTTTATTTGGTGGTTGTCGGCCAGGACACTTGGAGAAACATGGGAAGGCAGCTTCAGAATCAGCCTCAATGAGCGGTTCAACAATCACAAAGAGGCGATTGTTGGCCCTTTTATGTATCTACATATATCAATGTTACAAGTCGTTGAGTTTTGAAAAAAGTTGTTTGAGCCATCTGATTTCATCCTTGAAGAATACTCATAATAATAATAATCCTTGCACTCGATATAGCGCTTATCGTGTCTTCTCGACGTCTCAAAGCGCTTCACAGAATAGATTGGAAAGAGAATTGACTGCATATTTGTGGGCGAAACGCGGCAGCCAATTGCGCACAACAGTGTCCCACAAACAGTCGTAGATTGAAAATGTCCAATTTATTATTGCTTTGTTTTGGAGGGATTATTATTAAGCATGTGGAGTAAGGGAACTTGCCCAAGGTTTCGCTCTGCCTGGAATTGAACCCAGGTGTCTCGTTTTCAAGGTGAATGCTCTAACCACTGAGCTACAGGACTCTACCCTATTATCCTCCCATTAGAGCATCAAGCTGTTTCCTAACTTGAGTTGAAAAGCTAGCTTCAACTATTCTTTCGCCACCAGTCACAGATACAATAATATATTTTTTTCTCATACCTCTGTCTTCTAAGTTCTTGAATAAATCCTATTTTTCCAAATGTATGGTGAGGTTTTTTTGCCCATAAATTAAGTTTCAAAATTTGTACTCGACTTACAGCTGCTACTTACATTCACGGATCAACCAAAATCTACAAGATATCATCAAAACATCCAGTTGTGTGCATGCATGAAAATCACGAAATTCTGCGTCTAATTCACACACAGATTTCTCACAACTCAATATTTTTGGCAACAGCGCAAAAGTTAGTGTCAAGAGAGAGAAAGTCATAAAGTGTATATATATAGCATTTGGAACAACACAGTAATGGTCATCTACTGCACTCCCTCTAACAATTAAATATATTGCAGACAGACTATTCCAACATTTTTATAATCCTCTTTTATATGGTGACGTGGACAGAATATCACACAAATGTTTGCAGTCCCTGTTTGGATTCCACTGTCAAAGTTCCAGGACAGCTATCTGGCAAGGTGCACCAAGCAATTTGTCAAAATAGAACCTCATCACATCTGTCAAGTAGGTATTGGTCATCCACTACTGGTGGACTTGCAGGTGTGCATAATCGCCAACTGCTTTCACAAGCCCAGCAAAAGTTAAAAACTATTACGGGATGAACCTTTTCTAGCAAATGAAAATGGAGGTATATTAATCTACAATAACAAACATAGTTATGCAGAGGGATGTTATATTAGCTTCTTACCTGTGCAGCGATATTAAGAGTCACTGTGTCGAGACTGCCTGACAACATGCTCTGGGTGTCAGTCAGAGTAAGGGTAACACTGCCTTCACTGTTCATGTTAGCAGAGGACATCACAAGGTTTTGGGTAGGGACAGTAGTCTGAGAAAGTGATGTAGTGAGAGAAGATGCCAAACTGTTTGCAGCAGAGCTCAGCCCTGTAAGAGATGCATAAACAGTGTTGAATTAAAAAAGCACTTCCTACTGTACGAAGAACAAATCTAAAAAGGTGCATAACTCATCTTTTCCTCAATACTCCCAACATTAACTTTAAGGAAAGAGAAGATTTAACGTAATAACATAAAAAGTCAACTGAATTTTGTTAGTAGCTAGGTCTAAACAGTAATGTTTGGTGAATATGTGCAGAAAATCTTGCAAATATCCTTGAAAGATACATTGTCAAAACTAATCCATATCCTGTTACAACCTTTCATGAGATGCTTTAAGGCTTGACAGAGGATTTCTCCCCATCAACTGGCACCAGCACTGCTCTAGTAGTGGATTAAAATGATAAACTTAGACTTAACAAAATTACAATTTATTTTAAATCAGCATCACTACCACCTTCGCCTGCACTCTAGAGTACTATGAGAAAAGTATATTAACTAGCAGCTATTAACCACAATGGGATCTGATTTGCAATAATTTCTAATGGGTTTATCAATAAAGTCTCCCAAGTCCCAAATAGGGAATCCTAGAGATATTTAATAATAAATAAATAACCCTTGCATTTGATAAAGCATTTTTCACGTCTTCGAAACATCTCAAAGCGCTTCACAGAATATAATGTAAAGTGAATTGACTCTATATGTGTGGTCGAAACACGGTAGCCAATTGTGCGCTGCTGTGTCCCAGAAACAGTCGTGGATTGAGTGATCAAATTCTTCTTATTTATTTTGTTTGTTTTCTTGAGGGGTTATTATTATTGGACATGTGGAGTAAGGAAACCTGGCCAAGGTTTCACCCTATTTGGAAGTTTGTCATATTAAACAACTGGAGCCCTGCTCTTACATACCATGAAGTAGAACACAATGTTCCTGCGGGTTCTGTCGCACACTTCAGGTGGGATTTTGTCATTTGAGGATTGGAGTTTATATTAACCAATCCTGCTAGAATTGGCACAAACTAGATCTCCATGTAGCTATCAAAATATATTCTTTCTTCAATGCAACATTAGGATTACAAAATTTAAACAGTTTCAGTTTAACAAACTGTACTGTTCAGAGAGCCGAACCACAAGACTGGTATTCCTCTCCCTGGCATGAACCATACACTCGATCAAATTGCAAACATCAACCCAGTTATAAAGGTCTATTAATGCACAAATTGTTAATGCACAAGTAGCAAAAACCTTAAGTTTTTGGGTTCACAGAATATAAAAAGACTGCTTAACCCGCCTTCCATCCTCCTAGTACTCTACCTGTTATGTTGGCACTACTTGTGTTAAGAGAAGTTCCCTGAGTGAGGAGCTGGTCATTGCTGATGGTCAATGTGGCAGTATTGGGTTGATTATTCACTGATGTTCCTAATCGAATATTTCCATTTAGTTCACTGGTACCAGAGCTGTTAATCTGTTGGATGATATCCTGACCTGATTGCAAAAGAAAAGTATGAATAACAAGATTATAATTTATCCAACCACACTAGATTTCAAAAACCTGTGCTTAGTGATTAAGCATTAATTCAGAGCTTTACAAAATATACAACATTTTCTCTTCACAAATCTACTTCAATTCCAGTGAAAGTAAGCCATACAGTCTTTACGAGATGAACATTCCCACGCAACTTGACCAGATGTAATTATCAGAATAAAATGTGTTCACATTTCTGTCGAATTCACTGCTGGTACTGATAAAATAGAACCAACTTTCAACACATTTAAGGCACTTCAACAGAAATCAATTCTTGAAATACAAAGGCAGTTTCCTCTATCAAATTATTACAGATGTACATCAGAGTATTGTTGAACTATGTCTCTCTATTCTCAAATTGTCCACAAATTACCACACCCCAACATTCCACATCAGTGTTTATTCAGCACACACTGCTAATAACTGAATAGATATTTCAGCAGAACTATGCTTTTATTTTGATTTGGTTCAGGGCTATTTCACTACAAATTGGTCACTTAATGTCAAATAAAAAAATAACACAACTATATCAGTTCTGAGCTACTCGTGTTAAATGAAGCAAATAATAATCTTATTAATTTGTTTTGCAGTTTGCCTCTATCTATGTAAAAACAATACAGTATTAGGTCTTTTTCAATAATAAAAAATGAGTAATCAGGAACATTAACATCTCTCATTTATATCCATATAAAGTATTCCCTGGCAGCACCAGTAGTGAAAACTGCAAAGTCGAACATTGACTTTCCTGCAATCAGTAAAACCTACCATTTACATGATATTCCATCACGCATAAGTGCAGATCCGCTAGAAGCAATACTTTAAGCAGTGACCAAAATGCAGGTAAAAATAAACTGCAAATGCAATTTTCTAGTAAGCATTCTGAAATGTGAAATCAATATTTATATATTTGTTCTCACCCGAACCAAACTCCTGATCCTGATCCTTTGCCAGGCTCCACTGACTCTGTCTTAGAAAGGATCGACTTCAAGATCCTAACCCTCACATATAAATCCTTTCCCGTCCTAGCAACTCCTTTCCTCTCTAGCTGCTCATACCCCACTCCTCTGTCTACTCAAGTCAGCTAAGCAGTTGCGCTTCCCCAACCCCTCTGCGTGACCATCGGTGGTTGAGCCTTCAGTCACTACGCCTCTAATCTCTGGAACTCCCTGCCGCAATCCCTCCGCCTGAGCCTCCAATCCCTCTTTATCTATCTTCAAATCAAAACTTATGACCTTTCTCTTGGACCACACCTATGCTCACCTCCTCTTCGCTCGGCATCCAACTATGACACTGTAGAGGACTCTGGACACTATCCTAAGTGAAGGGCACTATATAAATAAATGCATGTTGTTGCTGCTATTGCTGCTTCACAATGACTTGGTCAGATGTTGAGCAAGCAAGTCGGATGAGGATTTGCCTGGAGAAGGGGGAAGTGGTCATAGGCGTAGTTCAAGAGTTGTTAGCTGTGCAAGCAGCAGTGGGGTAAGAACAGATCCTAGAGATACAGAGGAGCAAGAGCCCATAGAGATTTATGATGAGGATTAGGGCATTGAAGTTGATCTGTTGGGAGGCAGGGAGACAGTGGAGCCTGGTGAGGACTGGTGTGATGGGCTTGAGGAGTTTGGTGTGGGTGAGGATGTAAGTGGCAGAGTTTTGGATTGGCTGGAGCTTATTGATGGTAGAATCAGGGAGATTAACAGGACCATAGAGAACTGGGTGGGGGCCAAGGGTGTTAACCTTTGGCCCATTCGATGTCATAACTATCCCATCAAATATTACTCCAAGGTGTGAGCACCAATCACTTCAAGCAAAAATAAGAATACAACACAAAAAGGGAGCTCATTGGGAAATTTGTCTGCCTTCATAGGAACCCAGGGTTGAATAAATTGTGGTAGCCTGTCACAGTCAGCAAATGAACCAATGAGTGGGGAATTACTGCCAAAGATTTTACTGGTAATTAATATTCCAGATTACATACATCTTTTATAAATATCCCTTTCATGAAAATGATCTAAATTTTTTAGATCTCATTAGTCAAACAATTTAACACCTATTGAGAACACTGATCTCAAATCTAAAACATAAAATATTTACGATGAGTATAGATCTCCTACATTTTAGACTGATGGGCCCGGAGAAAGGCATGCATCTCATCATGAATTCATTTCTTAATTAAAAATACAGCATAAATGTGCGCTAGAGAGTTGGTTTAGTTAAGTGCAAGGCTGAGTCAAAATGGTTTCACATAAAGTATGTTGCATTATATTAAGAGCAAAATTTATATACAAAAATGTTATTTTATATAGTAATACAATATTATCATAGTACTGTTTTAAAGACCTTGATGTATAATATTTTGGATGGACTCCTGATCAATACCAATTGATAGGGATAGAATCTCGATCAATGACAGTGATTATAATAAATAAATCATTCAAAGATTGAATGTGATAAATCGATAAACAAAATCAATGTCAGTGATTATAATGGATAGAATTTCATTTAATAATTGAGTGGTGTCATGGATAGATTCTTGATCAATGTCTGAGTGATATATTGGTAGATTCTAGAAATGATCAATGACTGAGTGATAACATGGATAGACTCCAGGTTGAGGATGATTGCTAGATTAGTATGTATAATGGTGAAAATAGAGACATCAAAACTATTCTGTAATGCAGAAAGAGATGAACATTTCTCACCAGAACTGCTTGTTGTTAGCACCGTCTCTTGTTCAGTCAGACTTTCCATTGCCATGACAGCCGATGGAGCCACTGCAGGTTGTATTGACAGACTAGTGATTGGCTGGATGACCACATTTGCAGGTACTGTGTTATCTGGTGACTGCAGGGTCCCAGTCTGTTGAGTTAGGTTAGGATCAGCAGTCAGTTGTTGATTGAGTAAATTGCTCTGTTGCAATGTCTGCTGTAAAATACTTGAATCAATCTGTAGGGGAAAATAATTTCTGTTTAGATACATCAGGAATCAATTTACTCAAAGACTACTTGTTCAAAAAAAAACCTAAAATCAGAAATATACATAATTTACCAATTTTAGTCTTTAACCTTAAATCCTGCGTAACATCCGAAAATCTATTTGAACCTACCCCTAATTTTACATGCTCTAGCACACTTCCTGGGGTCCCCAAGCCTTGGTTCCAGCCAACTAGTACCTAAACTTTCTGGAATTAGGAAAGCAGGTGGTGGTGATACTTCAAGGTACTACCCTTAGCTTGAGAAAGGATCCCACTCTTGATTGCTATCCAGAGACCTTTGCATGGTCAGATCTCAGACAATTAACATACTGTTACCTCGCCATGTGGGCACAATAATTATAAGCCACAAATAGAGAAATCTCATTGATATCACCTATTCATGAAATGTTACCAAATGCCAATGAAGGGTTCCAAAAATGAAAAGTGTGCTATTCTGACAGATTCCTGTGCTATAATGTAATAATCCTTGTATTTGATATCGTGCTTTTCACATCTTCTAGACGTTTCAAAGCGCTTCACAGAATATACTGGAAAGTGAATTGACTGTATATTTTGTGGGTGAAATGTGGCAGCCAATTGCGTACAACAGTGTCCCACAAACAGTCGTGGATTGAAGTAACCAAATTATTGTTGTTTTTTCTTGAGGGATTATTATCAGGCGTGTGGAGTAAGGAAACTTGCCCAAGGTTTCGCCCTGCTGGGAATTGAAACCAGGTCTCTCGCTTGTGAGGCGAGTGTTCTAACACTGAGCTAAAAGACTCTACCCAGGTACAACTTTGATTCACACTGGGCTGAAATTTATATTCACAAAAAAAAGGAAACCTTTATCTGGAATTTATCTATTACAAATGGAACCATTCACAGTCAGTTCCGTTACATAATGCAACCTAATGACATTCACAACAGTGAGGATGATATAGGATAGCGAACCTGCAAAGTGATGTTGTTTATGTTGCTGGGGTCAATGCCAGAGATTTGGACATTCTGCCCAACCAGATTAGCAGAAGTGAGCTGCAGCTGTATCCCTTCAAGAGTGGCAAAGCTGGCATCTGTAAGCGATAATGTCAGATCTCCTCCAGCTACCAGTAAAAAANGAGACCATTAGTTCATGACATGCAGACAGAGTTCATTTATAACTTCTATTTGCATAAGCAGATATGGCAAATGAAAACCTCAATAAAATAATCGTAATGATCCTTGCATTTCACTTCAGAAAGACGTCTCAAAGGGCTTCACGGGATTTTTATTATTAAATGTAATAATTGTTGGGACTTCTTAATAATAATAATAATAATCCTTGCATTTGATATAGCGCTTTTCACGTCGGGAGGACGTCCCAAAGCGCTTCACAGAACACACTGTAAAGTGAATTGACTGTATATTTGTGGGCGAACGCGGCAGCCAATTGCGCACAGCAATGTCCCACAAACAGTTGTAGATTGAAAATGACCAATTTAATTATTGTTTTTGTTTTTTTGGAGGGATTATTATTAGGCTCTGTGTGGAGTAAGGAAACTTGCCCAAGGTTTCGCCCTGCCTGGAATTGAACTCAGGTCTCTCACTTGCAAAGCGAGTGCTCTAACCACTGAGCTACAGGACTCCACATCTTCATGTTGGGAGGACGTCCCAGCACCTTGGGACATCCTCCCGACGTGAAAGGCGCTCTATAAAACATAATTTTGTTGTTGAACTGTGTATTTTGTAGGCTGACCCTCCAGCCAATTTGCATTCAGCAATGTCCCACAAACAACTGTGAAGTGAATGACAAATTTTATCTGTAGGATTGTTGGCTGGGAGATTGGGAGAAATTCCCTTCTCTTTTTAATTAGTGCCATGGGATCTTTAACAACCACCTGAACAGGCAGATGGGACCTCAGTTTAATGACTCATCCGTAGGACGGCAGCTCTCCCGGCAAGAACATAGGCTGATTTCTAAGTCCCGATGTGCGGCTTGAACTCATAATCCTCTGACTCAGAGAACAACTAAGCCAGGCTGACATCCAATAGAGCAATAAACACAGTATTTGCAATGTAGACTGGGTATTTCATGACCAGTCCACCCTCAATTATCAATCTACATACAACAGATGTTGTACTGCAAAACAGGCTTACAATTTTAACAATAGTATTGCATTAAATTATTTAATCAAATAAGACCAGGAACTGTTTTAAAACTATTGTTTTAAAAAATGCACTAGTAAAATAAGGCTCTTTTGTATACAACACATTTGCATATTTCCTCTGCTCCTGTTTTTAAGTGGTATATTTTGTTCAAGCACAATATAGCATTCAGGAAGCAAGCAAATAAAAGAAGCCCACATCAGAGAAAAGGCTCCTCATTAATTCCGACAAAATGATTTGGTGAGGCTGCAAATGGATTTTTAAATGGATTTTCACTAAGTGGAACACGACAATAAATCTGCAGCGGGTTATGAAAATAGTACAAAACGCAGATAAAATATGCAAATACACAAGTGTTTGGTTAGTGAGCAGAAGGATAGGAGATGGTACAATTTTCTCCATTAGAGCCTGCATTACAACTGGGTTACATCATCATCCTTCGGATAAATCCGGGGCTTTATTAATGTTCTGCTTTGTTTTCAATCGTGCTCAGTGCTTTTGGTTAATCTCTTTAGTGTACTGAAGTTTTATTTAAATGAAATCATATTTCAGATCAACAGGCCTGATAGGGTGATACTAGAACAACCCATCAAAAATCATCCCCATCATCTTTTATAGGACAGTTGTTCACTGAAACAAAGTTCATGAATATTTTTTGCCTACAAATATACAGTCACAGCACTTTTCAGTAAAATCCCTTGAAACACGTTCAAACAAATGCAAGGATTGATTATTATCATTAATGTTATTACTTTCCAAAATATCCCAGATATTTTGCTTCAGATCTCCAGTGGCTTGTCAACGCTGTTAAAATTAAATAACTAAAACTTTCAATAAGGTGAACAATTAAAAGACTTTACCTGACATTGAAGCAGGAAGAATGGCCTGTCCAACAAGTCCCTGAGGGAGAAGATTCTGATCAAATTGACTCGCGAGAACTCCATTATTAGTGATGTAAACGTTTGCATCCGTGGTTGTCAGCAAGTTTACAGGCTGCAAGCTCTCAGTCGTTTGACGTGTTACTGGCTTCCGGATTTTCTTTGGCAATGAAGTGGGTTTGAAGTGGGATTGTATATGGCTCTTCCTATGTCCTGAAGTCCGGAATCGTACATCACAATGTGGACATTTAAAAGGCTTTGCTCCAGTGTGTAGTCGCATATGAACTTTTAGACTGCCCTTGGTTGAGAAGGGCGAACTGCATACATGGCATTTAAAGTGTTTTTGACCTGAATTTAAAAAACAGAAGCACTGATTTTTTTTAACAACAACAACAACGATAACTTGTAATCATATAGCACCCTTCACTTGGGGTTGGATCTCGGGAGCACTGAAAAAAATATCAAAAAGAACATAAAAAGGCACAGACACACGTAGACAAGAAACATAACTCAATAATGTAAAGATAAGATTTGAAATCATGTCTTGCAAGGAACTCTGTAACGGATCATAAAACATGAGAGGTATGGAATCTCGTATCTATCCATATCGGGTGGGGGGGTGAGGGGACACACAGGGGTACAAATTCTGGTCTCAAGCCTAGATCTGAAAATTCCTTATATCCCAGTGTCACCCAAACAGGAGATACAAACCCGCAAAACATAACCATTGCAAAGATTTTGACAGCATGCGGCAATGTTTAGTGCAACCACAGACTGGTGCTCCAAAGTCAAGTCCCTCCTCAATACCCTAGGATACCCTTCAAACTGGGGTACACGTCCCCTGGGGAGGCGCCAGTTGCTTAAGTCCCAACAGTACCAGGTTTCGCGAACTGTCCCAGCAAAGCTGCTTCCCCAACAATCAAACCCCGTGAACACACTTCTGTAAAGGACAACCAAATGCCGCAATAACCATTTTCCTGACCAACCAAACTCCACGACAATGCGCTCTGGGCACTCGACCCTGCGTGAGGGGCGCTATATAAATGCATGTTGTTGTTGTTGTGGTTATTGTTGACAATGCTTCCCTCCACAACAATCCGACGACCTCAAATTGCACTACTTTGTACAGCCACCAAACAAGCTCAATCCTCCCACTGACGAGGTTGGACCGATCGATATTATACTGATAAAATATAATTGTTTGGCGTTATAATTTCCTAAAAAATTTTGTGAGTTTTACTTTAGCCGCCGCAATTTTTAACGAGCGCCTTGAGAAGTCCAGAAGACGTGAAAAGCGCTATATCAAATGCAAGAATTATTATTGTTATTATTTTTGAACAGTACCATGAAATAACAGGAAAGGTGCTTTACGAAATAAGAGTGAGTGCTTTTGACGCTCACACTGTTAGAACTATAGTAATCAACGGCCCTTCCAATGTATTACTCTGCGCTTCCAAAGTATAGGGTTTCCAGTTGTTTGTCTGTTTTAGTAAACCGGGAGATGAGTTTTTTTAACTCTGCTTAAATCGCGGGCCAGTGCCCGGCGGGGGGGGGAGTGGCGCCCGGCGGGGGGGTGGGAGTGGCGCCCGGCGGGGGGAGCGGAGGGGACAGCGGCGAGCGGCGGGGCCTCGAAAACCCAGGTAAACGGAGCGGGACTCACGGAAGGCAAGTCAGGCAGCGGCGGGGAGTCACAGGGCCGGTCTCCCGGGGATCGGGACCAGCGTCAGCCGGAGGCGGGGCCGGTAACTCACTGCCCGGGGGCCTCGTGGGCTTTGAGGTGGGGCGGGTGTCGCGGGGATCGAGCGGCGGCCATTACCGGTCAGGCCGCCATTTTGCACCTCCAGATTTTCCCGCCATTCTGAGTGACGTCACTTCCGCCCGCCAGGTTTGAATCCCTGGTCGCGGCTGCGGGTTACCACAGCACAGGACAGTGCCGCTGTACCCCTGTCTGTCTGTGTGTCTGTCCGTCCTGCCTTCCCCTGTAGGCTGCTCCTTGCTATCCACAATCCTCCCCTCTATCTACCATCTCCAGCCTCCCGCAGGCTGACAATGTCCTGCTAAACCCCCCGCCTCTTGTCCCAGTGTGCGCATCTTGGCTGCCGCCCCCGACCCGAGCTGGTCCTCCCTCAAAATGCCTCTCTCCCTACAACTCTCCCGCTCTGTCCTGCTCTCTCTCTCCACCCTCCCTGCCTTCTATGTCTGCTTGAACCCCTCCCCCCACCACTGCCTCCCTCTGCTCCAGCCTGGGAATCCTCCGCCGGGCTCATCGTGGCACTCGGCACTGGCTGTCCAGCAGCGGCCACACCGACTGCCCCATTCCCCACTACAGCCGCAAGCCACCCCGGACCCTGACCCCGGGGGCTAACCTCTCCTCCCTCATCTGCATCCCCACCCTCCCTCTCAACCATTCCACTACCCCCTCCCATCCCACACCCCTGCCAACTGCACACTCCGCATTGGACTTCAAAATGTCCGCTCCATCTCCAACAAGACCCTGGCCATTAATGAACTCATTCTCGATGAGAACGTTGAAATTATGACCCTCACAGAAACCTGGATCACACCCAGGTGACACTTTCCCCTTCACTGAGGCCACACCACCTGGCTACACCTACCACCATGCTCCATGCCCCAACCATCGTGGCGGTGGTGTGGCCCTCATATCCAGGGCATCACTTGCCGTATCCTCCTACTCCACCGGCTTGTTCCCCTCCTTCGAACACCTCACCCTCTGTCATCCCTCCCACCTCTCTCTGAAAATTCTCTTACTTTCCGGCCCCCAAAATCCTCTCCCACCTTTATCTCTGACATCTCCACCCTCTTTGCTTCGCTCTGCCTCTGCTCCAACCGCCTCATCATCGTAGGCGATTTCAACCTCCACTTCACCCCCTCCTGCTCCATCTCCTCAGACTTCTCTCTCCTCTCCTCTCTCAACCTCTCACTCCACATCCACTCTGCTACCCACACCCACAGTCACCCGCTCGACCTGGTGATCACCTAGGGCCTCAGTGTCTCGGATGTCACCATCACTGACAAGGCCATCTCTGACCACCATTTCATCTCCCTCAACTCCCATATCCCTCTCCCCACTGCCCCCAAACCTACCACCATCTTCTACCGCCCCTGGAAGAAGATCTCCCCACAATCCCTCTCCGCTGCACTGGAGTCCTCTGATCTCCTCCCCCTCTGAATAACCCACTCGCTGCACTCACTCTTCTCCATAGCACCCTCTCCACCACACTCGACGTCTTTGCCCCCCTCATCTCCCGAACTGCCTCCTATTCCTGATCATCACCCTGGTTCACCAGCCACCTCCGTTTGCTTAAGGGCCAGGTGCAGGTTGCCGAACGCACTTAGCTCAAATCCGGCCTAACAGTCCACCGCTACATCTGGCTGGACCTCATCAAGACCTACCGCTCCGCTCTCGCCTCAGCCAAATCAGCCTTCTATTCCAGGTTAATCCTGGAGGTGAAAGGCAATCCCAGGCTCCTGTTCTCCACCACTAACCGGCTCCTTTGCCCTCCCCGACATGCCTCGCAGATACTTTCCTCTGACTCTCACTGCAAGAAAATGCTGGACTTCCTCGAGTCCAAAATCAGGGGAATCCGCTCAACTGCCACTGCCCTCCCAACTTCCAACCCCTCCCTACCCCCACCCCACACAATTACCCATCCGACAATTACCCATCCCTGCCTTCCACACCTTTGAACCTGTCACCCCCTCCTCTGTCTTCAACACGGTAACCTACATGAAGTACACCACCTGCTCCCTCGACCCCATCCCTACCCCTCTGCTTAAATCTCAGCTCCACATCCTTGCCCCACTACTCGCGGACATCATTAACCTCTCCGTCATCTGGCACTGTTCCTTCCCTGCTCAAAACAGCCACCATCATCCCCACCTGAAGAAACCTTCCCTTGACCCGTCACAGCTATCTAGCTACTGCCCCATCTCAAATCTACCCTTTCTATCCAAGGTCCTTGAGAGAGCCGTTGCCTCCCAGCTTCGCTCTTTCCTCTCACTCCCTCCATGAATCCCTCCAATCGAGTTTCCGTGCTGCCCAGAGCACAGAAACTGCTCTGGTCAAGGTCACAAACGACATCCTGACCATGTGTGACCAGGGCTCCCTCTGCCTCCTTGTCCTCCTCGACCTCTCCGCCGCATTTGACACCGTCGACCACTCAATCCTCCTCCACCGCCTCTCCTCCCACCTCAACCTTCAAGGCTCTGTCCATGACTGGTTCAGGTCCTACCTTTCACACCGCCTCCACTTCGTCACGGCAAATGGCTTTTCCTCCAGCCCCCGCACTGTCTCGTGCGGTGTTCCTCAGGGCTCTGTCCTCGGTCCCCTCCTCTTCACCCTCTACATGCTCCCCCTTGGTGACGTCATCCGCAGACATGGGGTAAATTTCCACATGTATGCGGATGACACCCAACTCTACCTCTCTGCCTCCACCCTGAACTCCAGGACTACTGGCGTCTTGACAGACTGTCTGTCCGACATCAAGTCCTGGACGAGGGCCAACTTTCTCCAACTCAACATCAGCAAGACCGAAGCCCTCCTGATTGACTCACACCAGCGCCTCCACACCTCGGGCACTGACAGCATCAGCCTCCACGGCTGCACACTCAACCTCACTAAGTCAGTCAGGAACCTGGGTATCTTGTTTGACCCTGAACTGTTCTTTCTCCCCCACATCCCCGCCATGACTGGCACTGCCTACCACCACCTCCGCAATATTGCCAGACTCTGCCACTGCCTCACCCCTCAGGCTGCCGAAACCCTCACCCACGCATTCGTCACCTCAAGGCTTGATTACGGGAACCCCCTCCTCATCGGCCTTCCCAACTCTTCCCTTCACAAGCTGCAGATCATCCAAAACTCTGCAGCTCGTGTACTGTCATGCACCAGGCTCCGTGACCCCATCACTCCCACCCTCGCCCAACTCCACTGGCTCCCCATCCCCCAGAGGATCGAGTTCAAGATCCTCATCCTCACCTTTAAGGCTATCCATGGCCTTGCCCCTCCTACCTCTCTGACCTGCTGACTCCCTGTGAGCCTGCCTGCTCCCTCCGTTCATCGGGCTCCGGCCTGCTCCATGTCTCCCGCCCAATCCGCCCTACCATCGGTGGCCGGGCTTTCAGCCATACTCTGGAACTCCACCCCATCCCTTCGCCTCGCTTCCTCCCTTGCCTCCTTCAAGGTCGGTCTCAAGACCTTTCTCCTCGATCGGGCCTTTGGTCTCCCTCCCATCACCCCTACACCATCCCCCCTCTCACATGCTCAGGCCCCGACACCTAATTGTTCAGCGCTTTGGGACGGCCTTCCGTCTTGAAAGGCGCTCTATAAATGTAATTTTGTTGTTGCTGTCTCAGGGAGACTCACTATCATAAAGTTTGAGATCCTATGCCCTATGGCCCCAATTTCACCTCGTGAGCAGTGCCTTTAGCAGCACCATAAAGTGAATGTCCATTCACTGTATGGTCTAATCATTCCAGCGTATAAAAGACACTGAATCAATGTGTAACACTACAATTTTGCAGAGATTACTTGTTATTTCACAGAACAAGGCTGATCCTTTCACCTCAATATAGAAAAAAAATGCCTTAAATTTCACGACTGACAAATATGCTGCAAGCCCCAGTTATTGGCCTAGAGAGGGAAAAAATTATTTGCATTGGATATTTCATAAAATATGTTCACTGCTTTCAATTCAATGGATTGAATAATCCTCAAATAAATTGTCAGAAGCCTCTAATTATCTGTTGTAGTTCACTGTATTTTCAAGAATTACTAGAACAGAAATGCCATTTAGTGACTATCTGTTAGCCACATATGATTATTTATATAAAGTATTTATTTCACTGAAATAAATACAAATGATACAAATACAAATACAAATGATCACTGACCTGTGTGGGTTTTTAGATGACAGTCCAGAGTAGATTTCACTGTAAAACTCTTCCCACATTCATCACACTTAAAGGGCTTCTCTCCAGTATGGATGCGGATGTGCCTACGTTAAGAAGACATTTATTTTGTTACTTGGCTTTAATCTCCAAGTGCTGCAAGACACTGGCCTGCATGATGGGCGCTATATAAATGCAAGTGGTTGTTTACACAATTATTAGATGAAGAATTGTTTCTAGCTTCAGAAGCCTGAAAACAGTTTGAATGATGACAATAATAAGCATAAAAATTTTGCATATTATTTATGAAGGGATACTAGGCTTTATAAATAGAGGCATAGAATACGAAAGTCAGGAAGTTATGATGAACCTGTATAAAACACTGGTTAGGCCTCAGCTAGAGTATTGTGTTCAGTTCTGGGCACTGCACTTTAGGAAGGATGTCAAGGAATTGGAGAGGGTGCAAAGCAGATTTACTAGGATGGTACCAGGAATGAGGGACTTCAGTTATGAGGAGAGGTTAGAGAAGCTAGGATTATTCTCCTTGGAGCAGAGGAGGTTAATAGGAGACTTAATAGAAGTTTTCAAAATTATGAGGGGATTCAATAGGGTGAACAAGGAGAAACTATTTCCACTGGCAGGGTGGGTCGTAACCCGAGGACACCGATTCAAAATAGTTGTTAAAAGAAACAGAAGGGAGATGAGGAGAATTTTTTTTCATGTAGCGAGTTGTTCAGATTTGGAATGCATTGCCTGAAAGAGTGGTGGAAGCCGATTTGATAACAACTTTTAAGAGAGAAGTGGATAATTATTTGGGGAAGACAAGTTTGCAGGACTATGGAGAAAGAATAGGGGAGTGGAATTGCCTTGGGTAGCTCTTTTCAAAGAGCTGATACAGACTCGATGGGCCGAATTAATTTTTTTTTTAAAAAAGTATGTTCACCTCTCATACTAGGGTTTGGATCCAGAGAAGATTGACAGCCTGAAGGTTTCCACTATGCAAGGGTCTCACATAGAAATACATAGAGCTGAAGCAGGCCATTTGGACTAAATAACGTCCGAATCCGCATTAGCCCCCACCCCTTGGAATCCCCTCTCCCATAACCCTTAATTTCCCTTTCCCTCATGTATGCATCAAGCTTCCTCTCAAATACATTGACAATTGTTGCTTCAACCACAGCTTCCGGCAGTGAGTTGCACATTTCCACCACCCTCTGCATAAAGGAAGCTTCTCCTAAACCTCCTTTTAGATCTGCTACCATCTTGAAATTATGCCACTTTGTTTTGAACTCACCAACAAACCAAGGAAATATGATATTATGTTTGGGAAGTCTCAACTCAAATTACCTGTGACCATTCCTTAAAATTGTTCACTATCAGTTACATTAAATGACAATGTCACTTAGAGAAGCCATAACAAAGAACTTGTGTGCAAAGCTAAAAAAATTCACATCTTTCAGAGCTCACCTAACCAGGTCACTTGGTTTCTTGAAACTCTTCGTACAAAATGAGCATTGGTTTGCATGTTTTGGCTCCTCTTCAACCTCTGTGGCTTTATCCTTAATCTCACTAACCCGGTCCTTCTCTGCTGCTGATTGGACTAATACTTTTTCTGAGACCGTAGCATCCAATCGAGTCCCAGTCTTGGCCAGTTCTGCCGTCTCCTCTTCTGTAAAGGTGATGATTCCGATCCGTGATCTTCTGACCAGAGGTCTTTCCAGATTCTGATCTTCTTCATCTACACCATAATAAATTGTTTCAGGACAAAGAAACATATTTCATACATTTTCAATCAATCTATGCTGTACAATAAATAATTCCTTGCCCAGAATAAGAACAGGGAAGTTTTATAGCAAAATATTAGAAGGCAAGTGATGCAACTCATTACACATAAACCCACATCCTACCTCAGATGTAGCAACTTTCTGCTAATACCAATTATGTAGTAGAACCCAGTTATAGTGCGGTAGTTGGGGTGTGGGGGGGGGGGGTCTGCAAAATCTCACCCCACCTTATAATGAAGAGCGGTCGCCTAACAGCGCTTTCATCTTCAGCCAGCCAGCTTCCTGCACACCAGCATCCCACATTAAAATATGACCGAATTCCAGGTTTGCGGGGGGAAGATAATAAGATTTCATAACAAAATTTTTTTTAAATCACATGTACCCAACCTTGTGATATTAGTTCCTTATTTTGGATCAGAAACTTCCCATCACTTAGTTTTACCAGTAAGATAGTAGACGTGAGAGCAATTCATACCTCCAACGCCTGCAGTCACTTGATGAGCTTTCATGTGTCTCTTGCAGTGAAGTGATGTTCGGAAAGTGTCATCGCAAAATGGGCATTTGAAAGGCCTCACACTGGTATGGATCACCATGTGCCTTGTGAGGCTGCCATTGGTAGTAAATGTAGCATCACAAATGTTGCACCTGTAAGCCTTGACACCTTGAAACAAATATTCACATATATTGTGTAAGAAAGACAGTGTTAAAATAGTTTTTTGAAATAATAAAGAAATCAAAATCAGTAGAATAACTAGATAAAATATTTCAGTTGCTGCTGAGTGTTCCCAGCGATTTCTGTATTTGTTTTAAAACATTTCAGTTATTCTGCACTACTCTTGGAAGGATGTTGGACTCAATTTAAAAAACGACAGCTTGATGCTGTCATGGGGGGACAATTCAGAAGTATTCTGGAGGGATGCGATCAAATGCAACAAAGGGCCATCTACATCCAAACCTCTCTTCTGATCTTGTAACTTTTTTTGAGCAAAGTTAAATGGACATCAACCCTTTGACGTTTTATTGAATAAACTTGCTGAGATTGCACTTTGATTTATTTTTGAAAAAAATGCAAAACAAAAACTACTTCAAAGTTTTCTACGTTAGATTCATTTTGGGGGAGAAAGGGGTTACATTAGAAGGCATTGGACTGATATGCAAGTGTACTTAATTATTTGTGAATTTATGGTGCTACTGAAAGAGAAGCAGAGTCAATAAATTGGGAGCTATAGTGCATTAAAAATACCTAACTGGTAGACAAATTTTTTGTCCTTGCATTTGATATAGCACTTTTCACATCTTCTAGATGTCTCTGCTTCAGAATCAGCCTCAATGAGCAGTTCAACAATCACAAAGAGGCGACTGTTGGCCCTTTTACGTATCTACGTATACCAATGTTACAAGTCGTCGCATTCTTGAAAAAAGTTGTTTGAGCCATCTGATTTCAACCTTGAAGAATACTCATAATAATCCTTGCATTTGATATAGCGCTTTTCACGTCTTCTCGACGTTTGAAAGCGCTTCACAGAATAGACTGTAAAGTGAATTGACCGTATATTTGTGGGCGAAACACAGCAGCCAATTGCGCGCAGCAGCGTCCCACAAACAGTGGTGGATCGAAAATGACCAATTTATTATTGTTTTGTTTTGGAGGGGTTATTATTAGCCGTGTGGAGTAAGGAAACTTACTTTCCAAGGTTTCGCCCTTCCTGGAATTGAACCCAGGTGTCTCGCTTGCAAGGCGAGTGCTCTAACCACTGAGCTACAGGAGTCCACATATAAGCTGTGCAGGGCCACCAATAATCCTAGCATTTGATAAAGCGCTTTCCACGTTGGGAGGACGTCCCAAAGCGCTTCACAGAATATACTGTAAAGTGAATTGACTGTATATTTGTGGGCGAACGCGGCAGCCAATTGCGCACAGCAGTGTCCCACAAACAGTCATGGATTGAAAATGACCAATTTATTATTGTTTTTTTTGGAGGAATTATTATTAGGCGTGTGGAGTAAGGAAACTTGCCCAAGGTTTCGCCCTGCCTGGAATTGAACTCAGGTCTCTCGCTTGCAAAGCGAGTGCTCTAACCACTGAGCTACAGGACTCCGAATGTCTTTTGAATAATGAATGAGTTTTCAGCAAGATATGTACAGATGTTCCCTACCTCAAAAGTTAGCAGAAAATTCTCCAGTGAGTGAGCGGTCCACTGTGAAAACTACGGTTGTGTGACTACAGCATGTTTTACAATCTGTATTCTAATTCACATGTAAGATAAAATAATCTTCGAATACAGTTAGCTCAAGATCAGTTTTAGGTTCATAAAATAGTTTTCACTGTTGCAACTCTAGGAGCTACATCAGTGAACACTGAGTACATCAGATTCCAGTAATCCAACACAAACCAACAGAATTTACATTTATACAATGTGTTTCACATTGTGAGGATGTCACAAAATGCTTAACACTGTTAGCTGGGCACATGCACTGGGGGATAGGAAGGGGAAAGATGACTGAAAGTGCAGGCAGAGATAAGTCTGGCAAGTCCGTGTCTCATTCAATAATTTAATTCAGAGTGAAATGATTACTTGCGTCTGTGCCAGCTTTCTCAAATCTTTACCTGTGTGTGTTCGTTGATGCGCTTTCAAAACACCCGAGGATACAAAAGACCGACTGCACTGAAGGCATTTGAAGGGTTTTTCGCCTGTGTGGGAGCGTACATGCTGCTTTAGGTGGCTAGACTTCTTGAAACCTTTGGAACAGAACTCACACCTAAGGAACGAAAACAAATTACAACAATATTTAGAGATAGGCATATCATTTGTTCATACTTATGCATTTTAAAGTTTTGTGATTACTTAAATTTCATTAAATTTGCAATCTGTATATTCTTTCCATCCATAAAACATATCAAAATTGTGAACTATATAAATTTCTTGATCCAGTAGTATTTTTTCCCCCCTTCACCATTATGTTCTTCCCTTCAACATTGAGTCTGCCAGGACAAACATACAAGGAGCTCTCTTTGCTGAGGGCGCACTTTTTCAACCCATGACAAGATGTATTATTTATGGTGAATAATATGTGCAGCTTCTGATCAGAATGGATCATAACTTGCATTTATATAGCACCCCTCAGGCAGGGTAGAGTCCCAGAGCGCTTGACATTGGCGGAGCATGTCGCCGAGTTGTGGGGAGGTGACCTTAGTCACGGTCAAAGAGGTGGAGGGATAGAGCAAGGCTGTTCCAGGGTTTCGGGGTATAGTGACTGAAAGCGCGGCCACTAATGGTCGAATGGAGGCAGGAGGTGACGAATGCTTGGAAGAGGGTTTTGGCTGCGTTTGGGGTAAGGTACGGTCAGAGGCGGGTAATGTGGAGGAGGTGGAGGAAGGCAATCCAGGTCAGAAACCGATGTGGAGTAGAAAGGACAGCTGTGTGTCGAACCTAACGCCTAGATTGCACACTGAATTTGAGGGATAGGCCGGGGAGGTTGAGGAGGTCAGAGCCACTGGACCGAAAATGTTGACAGGAGCCAAGGAGTACGGCTTTCGTATTGTCGACATTTAGCTACAAGAGGTTTGTGCTCATCCAGGCCTGGATGTCTGCCAGACAAGCCAGATCCTCAATAATTTGTGATTACGTATAGAAATTTTTTTTCGTCCTCAAATGGCAGAAACTTAACCAAAATCTAAATTTCAATGATGGTTGGGTTCATTGAGCAGCATGTTTATATGAGCAGCATGTCCAGTATACAGAAGAGGACTCTGCAAGAGAAACTCATAAAAAACGATAATCATATGTCAGTCTCGCTGTCTGACCTGTATGTTCGTCTGACTTGGTCCTCACTGTCAGAATGGAACGCTGATCGATGGCTCTGAAGGTGCAGGTTTTCATGTGGCTGCTCATGCAATAAGCGCGTTGTCTGCAGTGAGTGTGAGACAAATGAAAATCAGAAAACACACATTAAAAAATGCAAACAGCTAAGAAAATATTAACAATAATCCATTTACAAATCCTTTTAATGTTAATCCGGGGTACCAGCTGCCTGTTCAGGTGGATGTGAAAGATTCCCTTCATTCCGATAGTCATATTGTATTGGGGAAGTAAAAAGCCTTCTTTCAAGGTACCCTGGTCAATAATCCCTCAAAAATTAACAGCTTCTCACAATATGTGAAGGATATGTCATGAAACAATTTGCTAATTTCATTCCAATGTTTATTAAATCAGATTCCTTAATAAGGAACTGGAGTTACCAAATTGAGAAGTTACTGGGAGAACCTCCACTTCTCTTTATTTCTGGAGCAGATCGATAGGAATTCTCCTGTTATGCGATACTGGCAATTAGATCCAATGATTTACAATATCACTGATTAATTTAATACTCACCACACTGATACTGTCTGTTGTGGGAACCTGAAGCAGGCTCTGCTGGTGGTAACTGGGAGTCAGAGCTTGTGACTCTAGGCTGCTGGAATCCTGAAGCTGTTGTACTGGTGTAAATTGACCTTGTGGGCCAAAGCTATCTGTGATGGTGAAGCCTAGCAAAAGGGGAAAATAAAGTTCATTTGTATTCACCTAAAACAAAGTGCTTAAATTCCGACACTGCAATTATAAGAACAATAATTACTTACATTTGATAACGTTCCTTTTATGTCGGGAGGATGTCTAAAACATTTCGCAAGACTTACTCTAAAGTGTATTGATTATTTTCTAGATGGATGCGGCAGCCAATTTGCACATAACAATGTCCCACAGACAGCCATGAAATGAATGGCCAATTTTATCTGAGGAATTCCCAGTTCAGATCAATTGTCAATGTTCATGTTTTGTTCAATAGGTAAACAGAGTTGTCTATATATAGCCAACTCTAACTCCCTGGATTTATAAGAAGGGAATTATTCAATGCAAGGATTTAGAGCCCCAAATTCTCAGGGCCTTCACCTTAACACCCTTCTTTTGAAATTTAAGAGCATGCAGAATTTTGGAAAATTCTCATATTTAGACTTAAAAATTCAGTCACGGTTAACAAAGGTCAACTTGACTGATTAGAACTAACACCAACCATCTTAATGTCAAATCTAGATCAGAAAAGAGGAATAGTTTCCTTAGTGTTTGAAACAGGAGTTCCAATTTTATGTGAAATTGGAACAGTTTCAATTTTAAGCAATTTGTGTGATGGCAATATATCTCTCAATTTGTCACACTTGTTACGACATCCGTTAGGCACATATCCCATTCCCTATTATAGGGTCAGTTCTCATTTTTGAATGAGGTTGAACTGCCTTGTTAGCTCCTTAAAAGCTGCCTGCCTCACACAGACATCGTAATCAGGTATCCTTTCCTCGCTCGGCCATACTGAAAAGCTCAATCTAAGCCAAATAAATAGCAATCCGGATTAGCAAAAATCTCTAATTCTATCGACACAGGAAGCTAATGCCCCATGAACTTTAGTGATCACTCCTTTCTACTGTAATTAAAATACTGGTACAACAAATAGCTGAGGTAATTGAATCTCAGTTACCATTTTTGGTCAAATGAAAAGACCACAGCAGTGCTGCATCCATAAACCAAATGAGGTTTGGTAGAATACACCACCAAAACCATGTGATGTATTGATCTTTGATACTGAAATGGGGTTATTACAGTTAGTATCTTCGATATCTTTCCATTCAAGTAGCATCATCCCATAACTAAGAAACAACTTGAGGAAAGTAGTCTTGCACTTTTCAGATGTCTTGAATAGAGAACACTTTTGGTCATTTTTTTTTATCTGATGGATTGTTTCCCAGGACACAAGGAGAAACTCCCTTCTCTTTTTGAATAGTGCCATAAGCTATCAATCCACCTAGAAATCAATCTTAAAGAACGTGCACCTTCAACACCCGTTGCATTTTTTTTAAAAAAGAAGGGAAGGGTGTAGATCCAATTCTGCAGATTTCTTGAAAACTAAAGCGTCTAATTATTTTCACCAATAGGAGGGCATTTGACTATGGAGTAGGGTGACCATATGTTCTCAATTTATGGGGACAGTCCCTGGATAAGATATTGTGTCTTGGCCAAATTTGCCTCATCTTGAGTGCAGGAACAAATTGAGCAAGAACAATAACATTCTTAAACATTCTAATACACTGATCAGAGAAATACAGCCATTAATCTAACAAGCTTCTCCAGTACTGACAGTAATAAAGAATTGTGGTGAGCTTTTTTTTGAATATATTTGGTTTATATTTCGGTTTTAACGGATTTGGTTTACAAAATATGGTCACTCTACTATAGTGGGCATCACACTCAAGCCTGATCTCTTCTCACTCAGCTGCCACACATATACACACGCTCTCTCTCTATTGTGAGTGAGGAGAGGTCAAGCTTGGGAAGCTGGAATCTTAACTGGTTTTCCCCTTCCTAATAATGGGAGGCCAGGGCCAATTTATCCTCCCCAAGCAGATCTGGCTGAGACCAGCAAACTCAGCACAGACTGGGATTCAGACCGCAAGCTCCTGGTCTGTAAACTGCAGCATAACCCACTGCACTATTGGGGCTGTCTCTGCATACATTTATAAAACAATACATCTCACAGGTATGATGTCATATATATACATATATATATAAAAAAATCTGAATAATAATCCTTGCATTTGATATTGTACAACTGTTCTTGATTGTTATTTTAAAACCTCTAATTGCGGAATATTAAACATTACAAAGTATAAAATGTAGAACAATTCTCAAGAAGAAATCAAACACTGACTTTGATGTTGCTTATTACTTGTTGCGACAAACAGGATTGCAGATAAACTAATAGGGGGGGAGGGATCCAGTCCAGCGATGTGGAATTTCGGGCTAAGTATTATAATGCCAATAATGCAAAAAATGCATATGAAGTGACAGAAATTGTCAGTGATGCATTTACCAGCATTACTGGCATTGCGTATACACTTCTACCGCGGTAAACCAACCACGGATACTGGACTCCAGACAGTGAAGTAGGAAGCTGTGGGAATCACGTGGGCCGCTCAATGCTGTGTTGGCGTGCACTAGAGATGTTGAGGCAGCGGAAGTTTACATGCGGGGCCCGGGAAAATTTTTGGCTTTCAATTTTTTTAAAAAAAAATGTTTTGGATTTCAGGCCAGGTCCAGCTAGTTCAAATTCTGGATACCCAAAGAGGTAAACCAGAGGCTTGCTGTATTTATAAAATCACACCACTCAATTCAAGCACCATTATGAGTTACGAGTTTAAGGGTAGCGTTTCAATGTGTGCATTCTTCTGTGAACATGTTGACAGAATAATATTAAGTTTGTTAACAGTGTTATAAATACACTTGAACAAAAAGTGAAACAATTCTGTGTATCACTTTCAGGTGACATGCCAACTTCCCAGCACAAACTATAGTACAGCCTTATTTAACATCCTTTTTCTACTTAAACATAATCATGCAATTTCAAGGTTAGATTTGTAAAGCACCTCAAAAGTTTAGTCTATTATTCTAAAGCTTATTATAAAACATTGAATTTACTTTTTTTAGACTACAACCTTGCGTCAGACCCTGTTGGTCAAAGGTCTGCTGTGTTATAGCCTGTTGATCAAACTGGTTGATGTTTTGCTGTAAGGTGTGCTGCGTGGTCACGAAGGAATCTGAAATCAGAAAAAATTAAGGAACAAAATGAATTGGACAGAATACCAATAAATTCCCATTAAAGCAACAAAGTAGCAAATATGTAATTTCAATATTTATTTAAATTTTGCAAGTAAAACAAAATTGAATATGATCGCACAGTAAGTTTCTTATTTCCTGAGTCTAACTTGGAATAGAGTATTTGCTAATGGACTTGCTGAGTTAAGAGCAGCTTCTACCTTGCAAATATCAGGTTATAATGCATTGTGGAATATTTCAGGCAAGGCTAATATATGGAGTCTTGCAGCTTAGCGGTTAGAGCACTCGCCTCGCAAGCAAGAGGACCTGGGTTTGCTTCCCAGGCAGGGCGAAACGTTGGACAAGTTTCCTCACTCCACACGCCTCTGTTCACCTAGCAGTAAGTAAGAATCCCGTTGTTAGTTGATTGGCGGATCGGTTTTCCAGGTGTAATAATCTCTTCCAAAAAAAATTAAATAATAATAGTCACTCAGTCCATGATTGTTTGTGGGACACTGCTGTGGGCTGTTTCAATTGGCTCTTGTGTTTACCCACAAAATACACAGCCAATTCACTTTATAATATATTCTGTGAAGCGCTTTGAGATGCCTCAAAGACCTTGATAAGACGCTATATCAAATGCAAGGATTATTATTATTATTCAAGCTCACAGCTGGTATATTCTGAAGCGACAAAGTCAAGAAAAATGACAACAAACTAAATCCTGACAGGAAACAGTATCAGCTTGTCTGTCTTTTCCATACTTTGGATTTGCAATTCAATTGGATACTGACGACTTTGGATTTGCAATTCAGATGAAACTGCAATTTGCCCATTGGAAGAAGCAATGTGGTTTGCAAATACCTCAAAAAGGATAAGCAATAGTAATACATTGTCTCTCATCAGCCAGTCCATATTGTTTTTGCTTATGCACCCAAAATCACAGAATTAATAATGCAGTGCAGAATTCCTCCATCTGTCAAAATTCCAATGCCCTCAGAATAAGCATTTTTTTCTGTGGCCAATTATGCTTCTCACTGTACAACACTGCATCATTTAAAATATTTAATAATAACCTAAATTACCTGCATCATTTATGCATCAAAGTCTAGTTTTATGCACTGGTGATACAATCTAAGTTAAATAAAATAAAAGGACAATAAATAAGATGGATGACTTTCTTAATCAGATCAAGATCAGAGGACAAAAATGGATAACATAGAAATAAGTGAAGGAAAACTCTCAAGTTAATATTAATAGATTTAGGATTTTTGAAAAGTGAGGTTGCTCTATCAATATATAAAAAGAGAAACAAAGCTACACAAGATTAATAATACTGATATAAATTATCAGAAGTCTCTGGGTTGATGACCTGGAACTGATATCCAGAAATGTGATCAGTATAGGACATAATTCATCATTTTAATGTTAATGAAAATTAATTTGATTTCTCCCTTCCTTGTTATTCTACTGATATGCTAGGAAAACCTAAATGTTCCATACGTTTTATAATTGAACTTTAATGCTATGACCTGATTGACCTGCTTCAGGGATTATCAACAATAAATGTTTCTTGTCCAAATGTGCAAGAAGGAATTATAGTTACTTAGTAATTTAACACAGCAGAAAATGTACATATTGTGAAAGGTACAAAAGCATTAGGTTCACAGCTAATCGCGGGAAAGTTTTCCTCGCTTCTACCTTCATCTTGTACAAGCTGCTGGTCTGTAAGCTGCTGGCTGAGACCACCCTGCTGGGAAGCCACTGCTTGTTCCTGACTCAGTCCCAGCATGGATTGCTGGTCAGCACTGACTGTCGTTGGCTGCTGCAGCTCATCTGCCTGAAGTTGGGTTTGTTCTTGGTTGTTAGCAGATACAGACTGCTGTTCCATCGAGTCTACCAAGGTGTCATCACCAAGCGAGACCTGCTGCTGTTGCTGAATCTGCTGAGCAAGTTCATACCTGTGTAAAAAAAAGGGAGAAAGAACTTAGGAAAATGGAACAGTATTTCAACATTTTTTCTTGATCATTCAAGTATCTAGAGTCCTGTAGCTCAGTGCTTAGAGCACTCGCTTTGCAAGTGAGAGACCTGAGTTCAATTCCAGGCAGGGCGAAACCTTGGGCAAGTTTCCTTACTCCACACGCCTAATAATAATCCCTCCAAAAAATCCAAAACAATAATAAATTGGTCATTTTCAATCTACGACTGTTTGTGGGACATTGCTGTGTGCAATTGGCTGCTGCGTTCGCCCACAGATATACAGTCAATTCACTTTACAGTGTGTTCTGTGAAGCACTTTGGGACGTCCTCCCGACGTGAAAAGCGCTATATCAAATGCAAGGATTTTCTGGCTCATGTGGAAAACTAGCACTAAGCTTAAGCTGCAACCAGACCAGAATGAGAGTTCCACATATGCAAACCACCTACACATTAGAAATTTCCATTTCTGGAATGGAATGAGCACTCTGCCCCCCGGAGGGACACTGCTTATCTAATTCCAGAGAGTATTAGGCACAGGTTGGCAAGAACCAAAATCTGGAGGACACCACAATTTGCATTTGGGGTACTGCTGAAATGTAACCAGCTAAAATCCTAGAGCTTGCCATTCAGAGTACTGTCTTGCAAGCTTTTCGCTGTTTGTCTAGTAGGACCTCCCTACCCCTTAGGGCTTTTGCTGCACGGATTACAGAAACTGAGTGGGAAGAATTCCTGCTCTGAGTGACTGGTCTTTCACTGCACGTCCTGCTGATGAGCCAGGCCGGCTAATCTGTCATGCTCTGTTGAACATAAAATCGAAGAAAACTGTGAGTAGTGCCCTGGAGTATTGTGGACCTGCCTGCTCAGGTCTGCTTGGACTACGGAGTCCACCAGAGGATTGATTCGACTCCAACATGCAGGAGACAAACATTATGTTCGTAAAGAGTTTTATTATTGCATCGGGGCAACATTTATGCTGCTGTTTCCCACTCTTTTTTAATTCCAATGCCGGGTGCAATAAATATGGCAGCTCCATAGCTGAATTTTTAGATACTACCTCAAATGTAACTAACCTAGAAAGCTTTCACGCTGACTATAAATGTCTAAGTGGAATGAGCTTAAAGAGCCTCAGCCATGTTTTTGATGGACATGGAGCTGCAGCATAAAACTGCACAACTGGCATTCTCACTGAAATCAAAGGTTGTGGAAATGTAACACTGCTACAGGAGTTAACTTCAGGAGTTGAGGTTAGGATAAAGAATGTTGTTGGTACAGTGTAAAAGGAAATCGACTGCGTTTAATCCAGTTATACTTGACCGGAAAGAGTGCTTGACACTAAGTGCAAACTTTGTTGAAATATTTCATTTACTGATATTCTTCATCTTTTTGACCACAAATTATAAACTCAGTTACGTAAAAGGCATACAAACCATAATGAAGTTAAACTCAGATAAAAAGCAAGCTGGAAATAATGCTTGTAAGTTCTTACCTATGTGTTTTCATATGCTTTTTACAGTTCATAGAAGTCTTGAAAGTCTTCTGGCAATACGGACACATGAAAGGACGTACTTCACTATGGGTTGACATATGACGCTTTAGACTACCATTTGTAGTAAATGTACCATCACAAATCAAACACTTGTACGCTTTGAGGCCAGAATGAGTCCGGATATGTGACTTAAGGACCCCGGATGACACAAATGCTCTGCCACACTGTGAACATTTGAAAGGTTTCTCACCTGTATGAGATCTGAAATATAAACAAACCACATAACTTAATGCAGGCGCCACCATGCATGGAGCAAATCTTAGATCAGAACACCTTTTAGGTGAGGTGGCAGTGAATAAGCCCTGGAGTTGAAGGGGAAGATTATAAAAGCACAAGAAGGGGAAAATCCTTTCAAATTGTAAAATAAACATTTTATTTGTTGCTCTCCATTAGTTTGTTCCATGAGGTCTGGCTGCAAGGAATACTTTAATCCCCCTGCAGTATGTGTCTACTAATATGAAAGGGCTCACGGCCACTCAATATATCTTTAAATTGACAGGTCTTGTAAATTTCTTTGATGAACCTTTCTTCTGATAATACCTCAGAGCTTTGGCCTGGTCAGTTAGGTACTTGAGGTGCCAAGTGTTATCAAAGGAACAGGATTACAATATTTGAAGAATATATCAACTATAAGAAAGGGTGTTGTAAATATTGTGCACTGTATGAGATTTTATGGTCTTACACAAGTGACTGCATTTCACTGTGTTCTCCTTCTGACCTTGGTAATTAAATGTCATTTAGTGTATTAGTTGGCTTTAAATATACAGTTGGAAGTGCAAAATTGAGATTTTGATCTCTACGCTTCAGAATGATAAATTCCTGACCGAGTTCCTATGGTTGCAAATCCACAGTACAAAACTGCTCACAATTCAGAACTTTTTTTTATATAAAAAACTTTGCCACATTTATGGAGGAAGATTTCATAAATTTACTTTCTGAACACAACATTTTCAAAAGGTTTGCATAACTCCAAGCCAAAGCAATTGTCTTTTGGTGACAGTATCATTTATCAAGCTTGGAAAAAATCCAATAAAGCATTTAAAGTTATCAAGAGCGAAAGCAATTCTACAAGGAAGTGTCATCATCTGCCTACCTATTGAGTTCTCCATGTGAAAATTGTAAAAGATCGAATCAAATTAGGGAACTGCATGAATATAACCACTCTGCTACAAGATATGTAACAGTAGATGGATACATTGAGGCTAAAAATTGAGCTTGGTCAGATTCTAAAAGTATATTTGGCACACTGAGAGATTCCTCAATTACCAGAAGCCTTTGTTCTTCCTTTGAATCTTCTTCCAATAAAAGGAGTATTTTCTGAAAGAAATACATCGCTCAGAAATAATAAAAAAAATTCTTGCAATTATTATACTGCCTTTCATATCGGGAGGGTGTTTCAAAGCACTCCACAGGATACTGTAAACGGTCATGCCTGTTTATTTTGTAGGCGAATGTAATTGGCAATAGCATCAAATGGCACAAAGAACCATGAAGTAAAGAGCTAATTTTGTCTGGGGGATTGTTGTCCAGGACACTGCGAGAAACTTTCTTCTCTGTCTCAGAGTTATGCAAATCCTTTGAAAATGTGTTGTTCAGAAACTAAATTTATGGAAACTAATTGCAGCAAAAGTGAGAAAGCCACGACGCTGCACTTGATAGCTCATTTGAACCAGAATAATGGAAAAGGAATAGCACTATGAACTAACATTGGCATGGATAAGTGTAAAAAAAAAGTTTAGCGGCTTTACAGATTGAATGCTAGTGTTTGACACGCTGGATTTAGCAGAGGACCCTCATGTTGGAAGGCTCCACTTTACCATTTCAATCATCATCTGGTAGGACATACCAACTGAATCGCTCAACTTAAATTTTTATCATTAACTTTTAGTAGGAATACTTGCAGCACACAAATTATGTCTTCATTTGTAATGGAGATTTAAGGCAAAAAAGTTAATACAAGTCCTACAACCTTTCCTTTATATTATTTCTGAAAGGAATTTTTCATTTCTAGCTTTGAAGACAATTCTTTGGTCAGGAAAACTAAATGTAATCTTGCCAACCTTTCACCAAAAAACTGAGGAGATTTCAACCTCTAAACAAGCTAATAATATTCCTTGCATTTGATATATATTGCCTTTCAAGTTAGGAGGATGTTGCAAAGTGCTTCATAGGATTTTACTGTAAAGTGGAGTGATTGTACATTTTTTGAACAAATTTGACAGCCAGTTTGCGCACATCAAGGTCCCAATTGTAGGTCATTGTATCATACCTGATATGTTGTTTAAGATGACTAGATTTTTTAAACCCCTTGTTACAATATGCACATTTGTATGGCCTGTCACCACTCAATCCATCAGTGATTATGCCATTGGCCAGGAAATGACTGTACAATTGGCTATTCCTTGGTGTTTGCTGGATCAAACCTACAAATAAAAAAGTATTTTTTTTAATTGTTTGCACTTTAAAAGCAATTCAAACAATTAATATAACACCATCTCAGGGGAAAAAAAACTGTAACAAAAAATGCAAACTCACCTTAAGGTCAACTTACTAATGTAGTCAATTATTTTGCAATTTTTTTACATTTCAACATTGTTTTATATAGTACAGTAATAACATCTCAAGTGAGATCAACTGGTAAATGTGGGTAAATTCTTTAGTCATTTTGCTGACCTTATTAGTGAGTTTCTACTGCACTTAATTAAAATAATTAAAATCAACCACTTTCATTTCAAAACCAATTAAGTGTGCAAAGAATTTTAACCAATCTCAAGCAGCATACTTCGGATAAATCCAATATTATCACCTCCCCAGCACAACATGTCACGCAACTTTCATGCTGATTAGCATTCAGCTACATATTTTCTTTTGAAACCTTTGATTTGCTTGGTGCCTGGAGACTCGCTCATAGCCAGCTGGCTTTGCATATGCATTATTTAGATTTGTTTTCCCAATGCATTAATTTCATTGTAAGCTTGTGCATCTCAAAAGCCCTTACCTGAATCGGTAATGAGAATAGGTTCCTGGAGAGGGATATCTGTTAATGTGATGCTATTCTTTAAAATCCGAGTCTTAGCAGGTTTCCGTGGAAATCGCTGTTTCTTATGCTGTAAATTTTTGAAGTGGGAAGCAATATGACTCTTTCGATGTCCCGAGGTGCGGAACTTTTTATCGCAGTGCGGGCAGTCAAATGGTCTGGCCCCTGATGATAAAAACAACAACTTGCATTTATATAGCACCCTTCACAGATCATAATGTCTCAAGTGTACTTCACAGAGATGGGATCCCTCCAATTGTTATCAGACACTATAATAATAATTCTTTGCATTTGATATAGCGTTTTTCACGTCTTCTAGACGTCTCAAACCGCTTCAAAGAATAGACTGTAAAATGAATTGACTGTATATTTGTGGGCGAACGCGGCAGCCAATTGCGCACAGCAGTGTCCCACAAACAGTCGTGGATTGAAAATGACCAACTTATTATTGTTTTGTTTGTTTTGGAGGGATTATTATTAGGTGTGTGGAGTAAGGAAACTTGCCCAAGGTTTCGCCCTGCCTGGAAATCTGATAAGAGTACCAATTATTCAGCTCGTACATTTCTCAAACAACACCTACATTCAAATGATACATATGTAAAATAGTTTTATTCCTCTCACTAGAAAGGACAGCAAAAAAAGGACATAATTGTAGACTCTTCCACCACCTAAAAATGCAAATCATTCTCAATGATGTTGTGTGTCACGACATTGACAATGCAGGTTTATAGTGGGAATATCCCATCAGATGCCAACATCATCAGTGCTGCTATCCTCTGCACCGGCAGGAATTTCAACCCTCTGAAGTGAAATAGAGGCTGTGTGCAGTGATGGGCGCCTCTATCCCCAGCAGGTACAGTTTGGGTGACTGAACGGCCAGCCGTGGCAGCTTCTCAATTCTGCACAGGCGTGGAATTTATGACATTATTGGAGTAGATGCATGATGACATCGTACACTTGAGACATTAGGTGGGATTTTCAGAAAAAACGCCAGACTGTACAATGAGTGATAATCGAGTGTCATATTTCAACTTGAGAACTACTCATTATGCAACACGAAGCATTAGTTGACTTGCTAAATGAGCTGCTTGAAGAATGCACTTTGAACTGTACAACCAGACTCTCCCCCCAATTGAAACAGAATCTGTGGCTGCCATTTGTTTTCTTACAGTAAAGATGCCCATTCACTCCACACCTCCTGCTTCTTAAATTCCATTCTGTACTACCTCTATGCAACCAGATCTTCACAGTTTCTGCAAATAAATCTAGCCTGACATTAAATTATCTTCCCTCCAATCCTCCAACAGTTATACTGGCTATGCACAAACCTTTGCAATTATTATTCAGCGCCTTGGGACGTCCTCCTGGCGCTATAGGCGCTATACAAATATACTCTTATTTACTGACATAAAAAGTTTATTTTTACATTCAATGGCAGCAATCTCATTGCAATCATTGTGTGAGTCTCCCTACTGCTCTGTTCATGTTCATGTCAACTCCCATCTGAATAATTTGCGACTTTAAGAGTCATAAATTATTGCGTTTTAATTAGAATGTAATTAATGACTGGAACAGGTTAACCTGGAAAGGTGGTTATTATTAGTTGAATGTAGGCTTTGTTTGGGTAATGTAGCTTATAATTAAAGTGATAAATTTAAAGGAGTGAAATAATTGTTACTCTTATCAGATTGTTGATAAGTCACAATTGGTCTAGTCTTAGCCTGTAAGAATTAAAAAATTTGCTTCTCCGTTATATAAATTTACACCATTTTAATGGTGCATCTCATTGAGCAAAAAAAATGTTGTCCTTTACATAATGCACTGTTAATAAAAACTGTCTCACGCACATGGTTGAAGGAACATGAACAAAAACAACTAGAAGAATGCCACCTACAGGATTACAAAACATAAGGCAATTTATTCAACACCAACAGTCTGGCACATCCTATTTGATTCAGCGATCGTAGCCAGGCACTTACACATGCTCCACAGGAATTTAGTCAACAGTTTAAAGACTTCATAACTTAGTGTAGCGACATTTATATCCATCAATGTCATCAAAGCTTAATAAAGTATCCAAATTGACAGCAACATTGCCATTTCTAAAAACACCTTACATTCACAAGATTGGTTTTGGATCAAGAAGACCCTTCACCCATTTATTTTCATATAGTTAAACAAGATATTCCAAGCATCTTTAAAGAGTACTAATTGGCAAGATATGAACTAGGCAGGAGTGCAGATGTGGGTGCAATCTCAGTATTTAGTGCTACTATGTACCCAACTCAAATAGACCCAATATCAGTAATGAACCTCCACAGACACCTAAATAATTTAATTATCACCTATTAATCGGTACAATCTAGACCAGGTGCTCATTCCTCCTGTACAGAAGGATCATTATTGCAGCAGAGTGGGTTACTGCATTTGAATGTGACACACTTGGCTATTGCAAACCAATGGGTGTGTGACATTAAAAGAATAACACGCCAAGAAAATGACTAAATACAAGTAATTAACAAGGTCAGAATTTTCCAAAACAATATACAGAGGGTTTCAATTTCCTTGTTTCTCTGACATCTTTATTCCAAGGCACATCTGAAGTCAATAAAAACTTTCAAAAACAAATACCTGTATGTAGTCTAAGATGAACCTTCAGACTCCCTTGGGTGGAAAACATCTTTGCACACATGGGACATCTAAATTCCTTGATGCCAGTGTGAGTCTTCATGTGAGCAGTGAGGGTACTCTTCACAGCAAATGCCCGGAAACACTGAGTGCATTTATATGGTTTCTCATGAGTGTGGATTCGAATGTGGCGCACTAGGTCGCTTGGTTTTTTGAACTCTTTTGTGCAATAAGTACACATGTGCCATCGAATTCCATTCACTCGCCGGACAGACCCTAAAAACATACAAGAATTGGATAAACTGGACAATAGAACCAAACTGGCCCATTTTCATTGAAAGTTTTGCAGAATTTAGTCTCTCGCATTATCTGCAGTACTGTGCATTATTGTGGAGTCCTGTAGCTCAGTGGTTAGAGCACTCGCTTTGCAAGTGAGAGACCTGAGTTCAATTCCAGACAGGGCGAAACCTTGGGCAAGTTTCCTTACTCCACACTCCTAATAATAATCCCTCCAAAAAAAAACAATAATAAATTGGTCATTTTTAATCTACGACTGTTTGTGGGACATTGCTGTGCGCAATTGGCTGCCGCGTTCGCCCACAAATATACAGTCAATTCACTTTACAGTGTGTTCTGTGAAGCGCTTTGGGACGTCCTCCCGACGTGAAAAGCGCTATATCAAATGCAAGGATTATTATTATTATTATTACTGACTATGAGTGTTATTGGAGGAATTACAAAACCGCAAGACTTACTGGTGGATACTGCAAAGTCATTACTGAAGAGATTACAGCATCGCACAATTAACAGGAGGATATTGAACAATTCACAGAAGGATATTAGACAATTACTCATATCAGGAAGATATGAGAAGCTTTTTTTCAAAAAAAGACAACTGCTTTTTTCCCCTCATAGAGTATGTATTACTTTGATACGTCACAAAACAAAGGATTTTGTTCTCATCAGAAAACAATATAAATTGTATAAATAATACAAAGCTACTCCACTGCAAGGATCTTTGGACTACAGGTAAATAACGGCTGCTGTTTTTTGACCTGGAATCTGCCTATTAAAATAGAACCACGACACTTCCATTTGGTAACCAAACGGATGCTGGATCCATTCACATCTTCAATTCACATCTTCAAGACTCAGGTGGATAGATAATTGTTAGGTCAGCGTTTTAAGGGATACAGGGCGGGTAATTGGTCTTGAGGTACAGATCAACCATGATCTTATAGAATGGTGGAACAGGCTCGAGGGGCTGAATGGCCTACTCCTGTTTCCGTGTTTCTATGTAAACAAACCTTCAAGGTGCTCCCTGCAGTCAAATGAACTTTATTCTCCATCAAATAGTGTGTCAGATAACAATAATCCTTGCATTAATATAGCACCTTGTCACGTCTTCGCAATGTCTCAAAGAACTTCACATACTGTGAATTGACTATATTTTGGGTGCAAATCCCGACAGCAGTGTCCCACAAACAGTCGTGGATTGAATGACCAACTTATTACTTTTTTTTTGAATTTATTATCCCCAGAAAAGCGATCCGCCATTTGACTAACAATCGGGTTCCTACTTACTGCTAGGTAAACAGAGCCATGTGTGTGTGTGTGTGTGTACGGAGAAAGGAAACTTGGCTTAACGTTTCGCCCTGCCCGCCCGCCCAGGAATCTCTGTAGAATCCAACAAGCTTGGTTACCTTCTGACTTACCAGGATATAGCATCATTTTTTTAACCATGTCCATGTTCTCTTTGCCAGATAGTTTCTCCATCCGTGGCTGCTGTGCCTGTGCAGCCAGGGACGGAGTCTGCTGAGCCGCTGTTGTGTGTGCATCCTGGGGCTGACTTTGAGATAGAGGCACCCTTAGTTGACCAATTTCTGATTGATGAGTTTGAATAGGAATGGTTGTTAGTCCACTGTTTTCTAAGGCTTGCTGGAAGAATGAAGTAAAACAAATTAATTTTGAAAAAATAATTTTGCAATACAATATGTAGAAATAAAATGAAAACGTATCACTTTAGGGAATTATACAATCGGGGAGGTTGGGAACCAAAATGAGGCAAAAACACTGAATTTGACTGTTAATCTTAGAAATGCAGTGAAGACAGAAACTCCAATTAGGAATTTTCAAATACCTAAACTAATACAATACAAAATTAAATTTGTATGGCGCCTTTCACGTCGGGAGGATTATTTAATAAAATAAAACTATTTAGCAGACAGTATTTTCCACATGCAAGGTTGACAATGAGGTAACATGCTGACTTATTTCAGAGCACTCCTTTCAATGGAGAAAATCTTTTTACTTTTGTTGAATGCAGGAAAGAAGACAACAGAAAAGGGGATTTCTTATTTTTCACTGCACTTTGCTGTGTTGGCATTGAGACTCACTTCACTGTTGCCTGCTTAACTCATTCTTCCATCGTATTCTTGCTTATACAATTTATGGACAATTAAAATGCAAGCTTGGTATTACTTCTGGCCTTATCCTATTATCTCTTTGTGCTCTTCGCACTACAGGCCTTACCCTGCTATTTATATTTCAACATTTTAAACAAATATGGGATTTTCAACCAACCTTAAGGGAGCTCACACTCTCTGTTACAAGAGGTTTGGTTCTCGACTTATTTAGATAGGTACTCCGGGATGCTAGACCTGCGTGAAAGGCGCTTTATAAATGCACGTTGTTGTTGTAGGTGGGACACACTGACCTAGGTAAAGGTCACTTTCTTTAAACTACCATGAATTGTAGAAACTTCAGCACAGAACAAAGCTAGTTGTACCTCTGGAGGTGCTGGCCTCACTGCTTCGAGCTATCTACTCTAATCTATTTACCTGCTTAAATGTTTTAAGATTTGTGTACCTAGTCTGACATTAATAATCTATTTCTACATGAAGGACATATGAAGACTCACTTGCAAGATGTCCTGATTGATGCTGCCCTCTATGGTAATTTGCTGCACTGGCTGCTGGGCTTGCGCTCCCTCTCCTGTCACCTGTTCCGAGAGCTCCAAGAGCTGCTGTATAACATCAGTCACTGCCTGTGCTCCTTGATGACTTCCTGCAGAGGTCACCGGCAATGCTTGCTGCAGCGATTATCACACCAAAGTAAGAAGATAATTAACAAAACAAGACAATTTAAGGATGATAGTAATGTTTAGTACACTTTAGTACACCAACATTTCAGCATTGCAGTCTTTTGTAGGTAATTCAAATTAAACAGTACACAAAGTCTACTTTATATAGTATTCCTTGATCAATATTCATTATTCTAACACACTGCAATATCCAGAAAATTCTCATTCTCTCATAAATAAAATGTATACCCTTTTTTGCCTTCCCCCAAAAGATCTTTATATTGTACACAAAGAAGCATGAAGCACTTCAAGCATCATATTTTATTTCCATGCTTTCAAAGCAGATGAATGCTAGTGAAATAATATATTAACCTTTACGATCAGAATTTCAACTTGTGAAGACATCTATAACAATTCTGGTGTCAATTTAAAAAGTTAGAATCCGTAGTCAGTTTATATATTTACAAGTGAACATGTGCAAGATTATTGAGAGCATGAACCCTGTAAGATTCAATAAGATATAGTTGTACCATAAATGACAAATTTGTATTTTACTGCAGAATATTGTTACGGAAATTTGAATAAATTTGAAAATTAGAACTTTTTTGGAGTTTTGAATCCTTCTTCCCAAATGGAATCTTTTGAGAAGGTTTTTAATTTGCAATATTAACACAAACTTGAAAAATATTTTTCAGACAGTAATTTTCTTCATGTTCCAAACAGGAATGTGAGGTCTGTGCAGGAAACTGCACATTTAACAGAAGGCTACATGTTCAAACAAATGCAAAGTCAAAAAAGTTGAAATTACCGGCGCACTTTGTGCAGTGTCAGTGATAACTCGGGAAGATTCTGATCCATCCGAGTGCATCCTGCTGATGTGTGCATTTAGGCTGCCTAATTTTCGGAATACGCAGCTACATTCCTCACACTGATATGCTGGCTGGTCTCCATCCTTCACCTTCAAAAAATGTAACAAAAATTAACAATTAAATGAAAAAAAAGCAGAAAAGATTAAAATTTCATCAAAAGCCACCATCATCAAACTGAAATAATACACGCACAATATGTGAAGTCCCCTGTGTCTGCTGCTGATAGTCAGTGTCCAAACCTGCAATTTTTTCGTTGTTATTTCTGGCGATGAGATTAAAAAATACACTCTCCTGAAACAAACGGCAAATTGCACACAATTGAGTGTTTGAAGCTGCTTCCTGTAAAAATATGGGATAATTGCTAATCTGAGATGTTAGTAGGAGAAAGTGTTGAAACTGAGATCAGTTCATTATAGGTGATATACAATCCTGTTTATTTTTTGCTCAGGGTTTGAGAAATAATATAAAATAATATTATCCTATCATATCACATGCCAGGGACCAACTAACAACAGGAGAGAAGCACGAACTTCAGATGCAGTTTGAGCTACATGATTTTAGGATTTTTAAAATATTTAAACAGCAAGAAAATATGCAATGGAATACCTGAACTGTTGATGGGATTCATTGAATAGTTACCTAAACAAACATTAGCTCTCTTCGAGGAAGTGACTGATCAACGAGAAACTAGTATTCATCAGAATATCCCAGAAGGAGGAAAGGGAAAGAAATCCAACAACAACTTGCATTTATACAGTGCCCTTCATGAGGGGCAGCATCTCAGGAGGAGGCCGAGCAGAAGGCCAGAGCCAGCCGAACAGAGGCAGCGGGTAGTGGAGTGGGGAGAAAGCAGGTCGAAAAAGTAGGGAGGTGTCAGGAATGCGAAAGGGTTTGTAGGTGAATGAAAGGACCTTGAAATCGATCCATTCTGTGGTAGACAGCCAGTGGAGCCTGGCGAGGACTGGCGTGATGGGGGTACAGAGCTTAGTGTGGATGAGAATATGGGCGACAGAGTTCTGAATCAGTTGTGGTTGTAGGTAGTGGAGCTGAGGAGACTGGTGAGGAGGGCATTGGAATGCTCCAGCAAATAAGCTTTATTGAAACACACATCAGTTTGCAAAGTAGATTAAAATCGGATGCACTTTACAATTTGCATAGCAGCAGCAACACTGTGAGTAGCTTCAGACTAAACTAACTAAACCTAAAACTGAGTCTAATTCCAGACCACTTTGAACCACGTTTGCAACAACAACAACAAGATTACATTTGTATAGCGCCTTTCACCTCGGGAGGACCTCCCAATGTCAGTATCCATCATAACAATACCTCAGTGTGAACCCTCTGTATGTGTGCGCGTAGATTTCCCCTTTGGGAAAAGGATGCCGGACAGAAAACACAGAAATGGGGCTTTTCGCCTGTGTGCTTGATCATGTGGATTTGCAGTGCTCCTTTCTGGTTGAAGGCTTTTCCACAATCACTGCACTTATACGGTCGTTCACCTAATTTAGAAAGTAAAATTGAAAGTTGAGAAGCAAAAATATATTTGATACAAAATAAATCATCAAACGTATAGTTCTCAACTACAGTAACACTAGTCATGCTATGTCATTTAATTTTACGGTAGTTAATTCATCATGGTATGGGTAAGTGCGAAAGCGCTTGTGTATTCTCTCCCCCTATATGTAGTTATATAAATAAATGAAATATAAAATTATCTGTACTTATATAAATTAGCATCTGAATAAAGAATTTGTATTTTAATTTACACTAGTCAGAGATGAGAGAGTACATGTGATGAAAGTTACAATTTTTTGTCCAATAGACAGCAAATACCTTATCAAATGAATTATATTTTCCAGCAGGATTTAAAACAGTAAATAATCCAAGCACTCCGACAGAAATTAAAGTTTACAATGCACTGCTTCACTTTGAAAAGTAACCAGGCTCTAACATAGAAAATAACAGGAGAGTGGGGCAGTCTCCTGTTGTCTCTATTACTTTTTCTATCAACACCACAGTTCTTTTTTAGAGCCAGAGAATTTGATCCTACAAATCTTATTTTTCATTACAAGAGGAAGCATTTACACCCCCAAGATTGCAAACAATATATTAAATTCATGGTGCAGTCCAGTTGATGCAGTGCTGCTCACACTTAAAGATTAATATCTGTGATACTTGTACAAATGATAATCCACTATTAAATTGCCAAGGAATAACACAATCTGCTTGTTTATATTGTAAATCAGCCAGTTCCTTCCACAGAACAAGTACTACAACAACAAATACATTTGTATAGCGTCTTTCACGTAGGGAGGACATCGCAAGGCGCTGGACAGTCAGGGATTTGGACGCGAGCAGGAGGTTGGGATCAGAAGAATTGGTGGGCAGGGAGCATAAGGTGGCCAAAGGTCGAAAAGGAGAGTCTTGAGACATGCCTTGAAGAACGTAAGAGAGAAGGGAGCAAAGTGAAGAGTTCTGGGGTGGGGGGGAAGAGAGAGGCTGAAGGTCGATCGCTCGCTGATAAGCACTCTGGGACACTGCCCTGCATAAGGGGCACGATATAAATGCAAATCGTTGTTATTGAGTGGCTGACAGCATCAGCATCCAAGGCTGCACTCTCCCCCTCTCAAAGCCGGTCAGGAACCTCGGGGTTCTGTTCGACCCTGAGCTGTCCTTTCTTCCTCATATCCGCACCACAACTGGCACCGCCTTCCATCACCTCCGGAATATCGCCAGACTACGGCACTACCTCACCCCTCACGCTGCTGAAACTCTGGTCCACGCCTCTATCACCTCAAGGCTGGACTATGGGAACTCTCTCCTCGTCGGCCTTCCCGCACCTCCCTCCACAAGCTGCAGGTCATTCAGAACTCTGCAGCTCGTGTACTGTCCTGCACCAGTCTTCGGGACCACATCACTCCCACCCTCGCTCGCCTCCACTGGCTCCCCATCCCCCAGAGGATCGAATTCAAGATCCTCATCCTCACCTACAAGGCCATTCACGGCCTTGCTCCCTCCTACCTCTCCGACCTACTATCCCCCTACCTACCTGCCCGTACCCTCCGTTCCTCTGGCTCCGGTCTGCTCCACGTCCCCCGCCCCAACCGCCCTACCATCGGTGGCCGGGCCTTCAGCCTCTCAGCCCCCAGGCTCTGGAACTCTATCCCCCAGTGCCTTCGCCGCCTCCTCCCTTTCCTCCTTCAAGGCCGGTCTCAAGACCTTTCTCTTTGACCGTGCCTTCAGCTCCCCTCTCGACTCTCTACCCCCTCCTCGCTCCCTCCCTTCCCTCCCCTCACCCTGACCATTTCCCCCCTCCTCGCTCCCTCCCTTCCCTCCCCTCACCCTGACCATTTCTCCCCAATGCTCGGGTCCTGACCCAACTGTACAGCGCCTTGGGACGTCCTCCTGACGTGAAAGGCGCTCAATAAATGGAATCTTGTTGTTGTTGTTGTTGTGGAGCAGGCTGGGCAGGGGACGTGGAGCAGGCCGGAGCCTGCTGAGCAGAGGGAGCAGACAGGGTGGTAAGGGGTTGGCAGGTCACATAGGTAAGAAGGAACAAGGCCGTAGAGGGCTTTGAAGGCGACGAAGATTTTGAACTCTGTCCTCTGGGGGATGGGGAGCCAGTGGAGCCTGGAGAGGGTGGGGGGTGATAGGGTCATGGAGCCTGGTGTGGGAGAGGAAACGAGCTGCAGAGATGCAACAGCACAAACCATTGTACCATGGAATCCATCCCACTTATTATTATGCATCGTGAAAATTCTACACAAATACTGATATTGCTACTGTATAGTTATCATGAAGCAAAACAATTTAGTCAGTTGGGTAAGAGAAGGTATTTATCAAATAATAGAAATTAGGCTCAGTTTGTAGCACCCTTAAGTCAGGATGCAAGGTCAAGCCCTATCTCGGACCTGGAACTCATATATTTTAAGATAACATTCCAATGCAGTGTTGCAGTTACGCTGTGTTGTAAATGTTGTCCTTCAGATGAGATGTTAAACCGAAGCCTCTCTGCCTATTCAGATGTCATTAAAGATCCTATTGCACTATTCGAAAAGAGAAGGGAGTTTCTCACAATGTCCTCGCTAACAATCCCTCAGATAAAATTGATCATTCACTTAAGGTGTGCAAAATGTTTGCCACGTGGTAGATTTGTGCAAAATGACTGCCACGTGGTAGATCACTGCCCACTGTCTGTCATCACATTTTATTTGTAAAATCCTACAAAGTCTTTGAGTTGTCCTCCTAACATGAAAAGCGCTATATCAAATGCAAGGATTATTATTATTCATCTATCCTCATCTTCAATGCCTCTCATCCCAAGACTGCCGATAAAAAACAGCCTGGGGCAGAGCTAGGTACAAAGAAACAGGAGAAGATAGGAGACCGCCCATTAAGCCTGTTCACAGATTTATTAAATTAAATGGCAGATCTTTTCATCCCATTTCCTTACTTTTCTCCATACCCTTTAATACCCTTAATAACCAAGTAACTATCCGTGTCCTTTGTAAATAACTCAAATAATTCTGCCTTTACAGCCTTCTGCATCCATGCATTCCACATTTCATCTGAAGAAATGTTTTCTGATCTCACATCTCACTAACTTCCCCGTGTTTTGGATCTCTCCGCCAGAGGAAAGAGTTGTCTTCTTACATATCTTGTAAAATTTCTTATTTTTAAGATTAATTCAATTAAATTCCCCCTTATCCTCCTTGGCAGGAGGATGAGGGGGAATTTGATAAGGGGGAAGTCTGTCCAGCTCATCATAGCTAAACCCCATCATCCAGATATAATTCAGAGAACTGTTGCTGCGTGATCTCAAAGGACAGTGTGGTAGATCGCTGCCCACTGTTGTTAGAATCACCTTTATGGTAATACTTAGCACAGATCATTTTTACAAATGCAGATCTAAACTACTGGCTCCGTTCAGACACGTATTGAACAATCGTTGTTCTATGTTCTCCACCCCTCTTCCCATTTATGCAATAAAATTTACACAGCACCACAGGAACCATTTGGGAAGCATTTGATCATCTTAAACTGTAGCCAACTCCATAAGCTCTAAACACAGATATTTATCCACACGAGTTTTAAAGAAGCATATCAAATCAGACAATTGCTTTTGCTGGGAGTCTGTTCCAGCAATGGTTATTGCTCACCTGTGTGTATTCTGATATGTCGAACTAACTGACTAGGCTTCTGAAATGTTTTTCCACAGTGTTCACATCGCTGCGAGAACCCTGACCTATCAACGTGCCGTTTGTACTGTTTGGTGCACAGGGACGACCTGCCAATCAACAGGTGCAAACATTGATTAGTATCGGACTAGAACTCTGCAACATTTTATAGAAAGGTGATCAAAGAAGCAGTTATGTACAGCTATTCACTGTGTCCAGCATTCACCTGTGTTATACAGTAATTTCCTTGTACAGCTACTTCTCGTGTTATTTAATTGCTACCATTTATTTCTACAATATTTCAAACATATTAGAAATATCAGCAGCACTTGAAGATCAAAGCTTTCTTTCTCGTTTCTCTTTAGCCAGCATTGAGTTTCCTCTTCAGATTAATAAGATCAGACAGTGGGAGTTCTACTCTGAAAACTTCTTTGTAATATATCAATGCTGATCCACAATCAGCTAGCAGGAGGCACAGTTCCAGCTAATGAAGAGCCTTGCTTCTATACAATGCTCCTTATAGAGACTGACTGAAAACTGAAATGTGGAGTTGGTGTAACACAAAGGTTGGGAATTAAATGTTTACCTGAATAAGTTATGGGTTACCTTTCATCTGGACACTTCCAGCTCTTGAACTACTTTGCAGTTGTTGTTCAAAGAGCTAGAGGTAAATGTATTGGATTTTTGGACCTGTATTGGGGATTCTGCCACTACATTTTGGTTCACACAGGCAATCTCAGATATTTTCAGTACACTAAAAGCTGGGAGAAAATTTAAAATCTCCGTATATTGAAAATAAATTTCAGCTGAAAACAATGGTTCTATCCCTTCTTTGTCCATTGGTCATCTTACTTGTGCAGACATAGGAAGGAAATGCAGAAATCAAGATTAGTAAAATGTATGATGCACCGGTAGGTTTGATTTCTCTCTGAATGCCTAACGGTGCTAACACAACAGCCTCCCTAAAATAAACTCAAGGCCATGTCTTCCCGAATGAAGGAAGAAGTCAAGACAAATTGACATGTTAATAATTTAATTACCAATTAAACTGAACCGAAATGAACTGCTACTGAGTGAAGAAAATTCAGGAGTTTCTCGCTGGGCACCTTGAGGTGTCTGATGGGTTTGATGCCTCATCTATAAAACAGGGCAACCTGTTCTCTCTCTGCCAACAAAAATATAGCTTAGTGGCAACTGCACCATGCAGAAGAGAAATTAGAAAACTGAACATTAAAACAAATAAATAAGCACTAACAGCATCAACCTTCACTGTCTTGTTTCAGTCCCAAATCTATTGTTCAGGTCCATTTTTATGGGCTTAATTTTAACTGCAATTTCTCTACCATTCCTTTATCATTAATAATTAAGATAAGGAATGTGTTTAAGAATATTGCAACCTCTATGTTTCTGTTAAAAAGAAGTTTGAAAAATATAGAAAACAAATTTCAAAAGTGAAAAAGATTAAGTTACAAGGGAACAACAAGTGAGTTAAGCGATTAATAAAAGAAACAATTGTAGATAAAAAAATAATCAGGTGAAAGTTATGGAATTTGATGATATAATTATCATCATTGATCACATTTGCAGAAAAATGTGATTCTAACATATCTTTAATGGTCGATAAATTTGGGAGTGAAGCCTCCCCACACCCCCACCCCAGAACACCTACGGAACTATGGCTGGACCTGAAGATTTTACTGCATTGGCTGTTCAGCTCGTGGAAAGTCTTGAGTCAGTATAGCTACAAATAGTACTGATTCCAATATAAAATCCTCCAGTTATATTACATAGCAGTTACATTCAGACATGGAAGGAAACATTCAAGCAAATCACTAAAAAATTATTTTAGCGCTTAGGACAGCGTGGATATCAGCCCTCCAGGCACATCAACCTGGGAGAGCAATGGTAAACAAAAAAAATCCTAAAGCTTAATATAGGGCCTACAATTTTCAAAATAAAAATGCTTACTTCAGGATAACATAAAATGATAGAGCAAAGACCCCGAGAGGATCAAATCGCTTACCTGGAGAGGCATCTTAAATCTTAAGGAAAGCTTTAAAGAATATTGTGCATTTTACCCACACTGTCTTAGGCTACTTTAACCTACCTCCAAGCTACTTTAACATATTGAAAGGCCACAAAGGTACAGCTTGAACAATATTCATGACTGATTAAACTGATCAGAATTCCAATAATAAGATTACGTAACGACAACACAATTGGAACCATTTATACTGTCATCGTAAATTAGAGATCTAGTACAAATCTGATCAATGGTAAAATAGTGTATTCAGAAGCCTATCCTTTTAACTCAGTTTAATATGCAACGTTTCATTCGCACAGACATATACAATTATTCATTTCACAGTAAATCCTGTGAAGCACTTTAGGACATCCTCCCGATGTGAAAGGCACTATACCAAATGCAAACATTAATTATTATTAACAACAATACTTGCGACTCAAATTTCACACACCTGACTCTGTAGTGAGACTTCATATGTTCTCGCAGCAAAGATGGTCTCTCATACTCCTTTGTGCAGATCTTGCAGACATGCACCCGATTTCCATTTAATTCCTGTCGGTGTTCCTCCAGGTGTCTACTAAGTTGACTCTGCAGAGTAAATTCATCTCCACATTCTGTACAGATCAGGTTCTGCAGAGGGGAAAATTAAAGAAAAGTCCTTTGGAATCAGTATCACTTTTTGCAGAAGAAAAAGATCTCTGAATGCTCCTTAGCAATAGTGGATTAGTATTCGAAAAGAAAAGGTTTCTCCTGGTGTCCTGGCCAAGAATCCTCTATGCAAATTGGTTATTTAATTCATGTCTATTTGTGAGCCCTGCTGTGTGAAAAATAGTTACTACACTACAACAGTGTTCATTTTGCAATATTTCTTAACAAAGTTTCTAAATTAAGAAATTCAAATCAATTTGGTTTGCCAGATAATAATAATAATCTTTGCATTTGATACAGCACTCTTCTGGACGTCACAGAATATACTGTAAAGTGAATTGACTGCATATATATGGATGAAACATATATAAAAAATATATAAATAGAAAAAGATGTAAAGGCTGGTTATTTTAAACACCTATAGAACAGGCAGATGGACAGAAGAGTGCATAGGACATGCATACATCTGAACAAGGGTGGCTCGATTTACTCCAACAGATGTTTGCAGATTGTGCTTTGAAAGTATAGGAACAAAAAAAAGTGACAAACATAGAATCCACAGGCACGACTTGAGCCATCGCATTGCTCAGCTTTCTCATAGACCAATCTTCATCTTTGAATGCCTTGCTGCTCAGTCTTGCCCAGGTAGCAGCGTACTTGGCCTGTGGACTCGTGCCGTTTGATCACTCCGTGGAAATAATTCAGAGTCAGAGACTCGATAAGAAACCCAAATGAGGCTTTATCTGGATTACAGCAGCACTTTATCATATTTGTTTTATGCAGTGGTACTTTCAACTATTTAAGAAATTCTTTGGCACATAAAATATTTTAGGTGCAAGGCAGTACACAATCAATGCAGAGAAGACACTCACCTCCTCTTTCTCATGTAGCATAATATGAGCTTTAAGACTGGCCACTCGGGAGAACTTTTTGCTACACACAGGACAAGTGGGGTCATCGCCATCATGAGTAGCCTTATGTAGTATCAGATTAAATTCCATATTAAAGGAAGTTGGACACTGATCACACCGGTAAGGCTGTTCATAGAGAGATTAAAAAGGAAAGTTGAAATATGCATATGCAAACATTCATTGCAAATAAAAATCAAATGCAAGGATTATTAAATTATTAACATAAACTAATCCTTCAGCAGCAATGTTGCCATTTTTAACAATAGATCTACAACCTCAAGCAATGTTGCGTTGCCGACACTTACATCAGTTCAAATATTTAAATTGCAGTTAACAAAGTCGGGTTGAGTATAAACGTTCTTTCTAATTAATGCTTTAATTATTCTAACGGCCATAGTATTCTTATTTTAGGAACATAATAATAATCCTTGCATTTGATATGGCGCCTTATCACATCATATTATTTTATTAATATCGTTATTTGCAATTCTGTACAAAGTAATATGGTGCTATACACAAAGGAGAAAAGCACATTTTATTGATATAACAGCAGAGAGAACCCTTAACCCTAACCTGAAACACAAGATTCAGATAGAACCTAAATTCATAACTCAATCAAAACAATGCATGATGACCTGTAAATGAATCATCTTATTTTCTAAAAAATAATAATACTTGTAAGACAAGAAACACTCGTGGCAGTGCCATTTAAACTTTAGCTATGGTACAGCAGTGCCACCTGTTGGTCTATTAACATAATGCATGAGTACTGTTCTTGCTACGCTTTCGCCACTAAGGGTCAACCATCACTTAATTCAGGCAGGAGAGAGAAGAGGAAAGGTAAATCAGTGGCCAGGCTGCCCTGGATTTATTTCACCGATCTCCTAGGACATTTCCAAGGAGACTATGTGAATAATATAATAATAATCCTTGCATTTGATATAGCGCTTTTCAGGTCTTCTCAACGTCTTAAAGCGCTTCACAGAATATACTGGAAAGTGAATTGACTGTATATTTGTGGGCGAACTCGGCAGCCGATTGCGCACAGCAATGTCCCACAAACAGTGGTAGATTGAAAATGACCAATTTATTATTGTTTTTGGTTTTGGAGGGATTATTATTAGGTGTGTGGAGTAAGGAAACTTGCCCAAGGTTTCGCCCTCTGCCTGGAATTGAACTCAGGTGTCTCACTTGCAAAGCGAGTGCTCTAACCACTGAGCTACAGGACTCCACAAGCTCTTCATTACAATTTAATGTGCCAATTTAATGGAACAATGAAATCCACTGCACAGCATAACAGTCAGTGAAAATTGCAGAACATTTGAGCTGGTGAGGCAATGTACATTCCCATACTGTCCTCCTGGAGGTCGGGGGGGACGGAGTGATGAACCCCCTTGGAGCTGAACTGGTTTCAAAGTTTGGTAATAGAGTGTCAGAATCGAACCAATCTTTTGTGGCGGTTTCAGTCGTCCAGTTCCTGAGCCTGGCAGGTCCGCAGTATTCCAGGGCACTGTTGATGACAGCGTGCTGCCTTATCGGCAGGTCTTGGAAAGTCAGACCAGTCACTAGAAGCAGGGTCTCTTCACGCTCAACTCCTGTTAATGCTACAAGCTATGGGTAGTGTGATCCTAGTTGGACAAGCAGCAACAAAGCTTGCCAGTGCGTTCAACGGCATGCTATGCAGTGTTTGCCGATTAGACTCCAGTCATACCCAAACACACACTCCGGGGTCCCCAAGCCAACCTGCGCTTAATGCTTTCCAGAATTAGATCAGTAGTATGTGTTCCTCCAGTGAGAGAGTGTGTATTTTTTTCCAATAAATATTTTGGGAATTTCCATGTATAGGTGCAATTCATGGAGCTCTCAGTTAGGTTTGGAAACTTAAGCATGGTGATAATTCTGCATGTGTCAGACTTTTTAAATGTTATCTTTGATCATTTGAAACATAAGACTGAGGTTGGGGTTAAATTATACATTTGCTTTCGATATTCTTGAAATAAAAATATAACATTCTACCACAATGACCTCTTATTTTGGAGCTCACTCACCTTATCATTCTCATCATGCTCCCGCAGATGACGCTGCAACTGGTTGTACTTTGGAAACGTTTGGAAACAAACATTGCATTTATGAGTACCTCGGTACTGTGAATCCTGTAGCTCAAGAAATCCATTTGGATTGTCTGCGTTTAGCTCCAGCAAGCTTTCTGCAAAAAAAAACAAATGGCTCAGGTTCACCGAGCAGCACCGATACAGTGGTGTATCTTTGTCACAAATAGGGATTTTATTTAACGTAAATAAATGTTATTAAACATTTTCAAGCCACACCTCCATTCAGCAGCCACTACCTGTTAACCACCCAGGATCAGCCCAGATAGCCTGGTTTGCACACGAACGAACCCTTACTTGGAGGTCAGTCATATAAAGGCCACTTTGGCCCAGTCCACTGTATGTTGAAGACAGGTTTGACTGTAATAATAATCCTTATCTTGGGGATAGTGCCTTTTGCATCAGGGGGACAACCCAAAGCACTTCACAGGATATATTGTATGTGCGGTGACTGAGTGTTTTATGGCTCAACTCAGCAGCTGATTTGTTCACGGCACAGTCCCACAAATCGGTCATTCATGAAGTGAACAATAATAATAATAATCTTTGCATTTGATAAAGCGCTTTTCATGTCGAGAGGACGTCCCAAAGCACTTCACAGAATATACTGTAAAGTGAATTGACTGTATATTTGTGGGCGAACGCGGCAGCCAATTGCGCACAGCAATGTCCCACAAACAGTCATGGATTGAAAATGACCAATTTATTATTGTTTTTGTTTTTTGGAGGGATTATTATTTTACAATTAATTTTATTTGGGGATTGTTGGCCAAGACACCGGGAAAAACTCCTTTCTCTTTTCCAATAGTGCTGTGCTATCTTTAAAATCCACCTGCAGAGGCAGAAGAAGCCTTGGTTTAACATCTCATCCGAAAGAGTGCACTTCCAACAATACAGCGAAATCACAGCACTACGTTGGAATGTCAGCTTAGACTGTATGAGGTCCGAATCCTGACAGGGCTTGAACCCACAACCTTCTGACTCAGAAGCAATGGCAATCAACTGAGGTAGGCTGACACACACAACCAACAGGATAAAGTTTGCAGCATTCTTTAAGTTACATTGGTATAAATAATTGTCAACCAGGTAACAACACACCCTTTGCAGGTCAATGCTTTATTCCTTTGTGGCTTTGAAAGGAATGAGTGAGCATAACAAGACTTGAACCCAAAGGCTTTTGGTCTCAAGTCAACCAATCTATTGAGCTAGCTGATACTATGGCTGATAATTAGAATTGCTTCAATTCTACTTCATTGCATCAGTCACTGGAACAGGTCTTGAAACCCAATGAAGCATTAACAAGCACTTGATTTGTAACAGGAGAATCGATAGGAGATACTTCAATCGAATATTGCATTCACTGAGTGCCATGATATAGCCATCCACTGTGAAAAGCTGTCCATCATACAAAACCACAATACTTGTACAGGAGAGATTTCCCCTCTCCCAGTACTAGAGAGAGTTCTGAACTCCTTTTATAGGAGAGTTCACATGTTGAAAGCAAGTTGAAATACCATGCAATTATAGCAGACATGGTTTCAAATGATATGGCAGCAACAACGTGCGTTTATATAATTCACATTGCAGCAATACGATGAAATCAGAAACATGTCTGTCAGCGTGCAGCTTATTAGAGAGCCACTTTTTTTTACACAGCAGCGTGAAGCAGGGAAAATAAATCATTAACAGAACAGTCATTTCACAAGGTAAATGCTGTTCAGCTCACTGACTAATAAATGTTTATATTCTGGCTGGCTTGTGACAAAAACGTTGCAGGTGGACTGAGATTTTCAAGGCATTAACTTGACTGATGAATGCTATGGAGAAAGCCCAGCGATTATTTTACATTTATACGTGGGAGGACAATTCAAAGTGCTTCACATTGCTATCTGGGAGCCTGAGGTGGAGGGTGGGAGCTGATGAAGGACTAGGGGTTGGGAGGTGACCAAAAGCATATTCAAAAAGGTCTTTAAAGGTGGGAAGTGAAGCGATGAAGAGGAGGGACAGGGCCACAAGGTGGCAAAGCAGATGGGAGTTCCAGAGAACTGAGCTAAGATGACTAAAAGCTCCATGGAGCTAAGATAGCTCCAAGGTGACTGTAAATGGAGTATCAGAATTCAGTCAAGCCTCTGTTCTGATCTTGGTAGTTCAGTTCCTGGCCAGATAGATCCAGTGTAGCTAAAGGCGTTGCTCAATCAGTCTGTCCCATGGACAGAACTTGGAGAGACAGTATGGTCACTGGAAATAGGGATTCTTCCCACTTAGCTCCTGTTAATCCAGCAGAGTCAAAGCATTAATAGGTAGGGTGATCCTTGTTGGACCCACAGCTGGAACTTTGCTAGAGACGGTGCTCACAATGGCAGAACTGGCACTGGCTCTGTGTTGTGGCCAACAATCCCCCAGATAAAATTCACTCAATTGTTGGGACACTGATGTGCACAAATTGGCTGCCATATTCACCTACAAAATACAGTTACTACACTTTATAGTAAACCCCGTGATGTACTATATCAAATGCAAACATTATTAGTATTATAAATACTAGAATCTGTGTGGGGGCTTGTTCAAAGGTGTTGACAGACAGCTCAATGACTATCTCAAGGAGTTTTGGGAATCCTCCCCCCTTAACCAAGTCTGGGTTGGAGGATTCCTCAGTGATCCACTAGGACATTGTCAGGAGCAGAATGTCCCATGACATTATCAACGGTGATATTATCATGGACCAAACCTTTCACCTCAATAAATGTTTACAAATAAAAATAGGTCTTTCACTTCTTAGCTATCTGTGGGAAATTGTTCTGCAAATTGGCTGTCATGTTACCTACAAATACATTCCATTTTACAGTACAGTTAAGCCTGTTTTCAACAACCATTCAGTGGGCTGGACCAAAGTGTCCTTTATGCAAGAATGGGCTGAGTAAGTGTTCATTGGGTTTGTTAACCAGGCCCAATATTTTTTGAAAGAAGTTCCGCGGGCCCACATGCAGACTCCCACTAGACTCCTGGTTAATTTACGAACACTGCCTCAACACTGGGCATCATGCAGACTGCTCAGCGCAGTGTTGATAAATACACGAGGAGTTTAGCGGGAGCCTACATGTGGGAGTCCAAAAATTGGTAGTGCATTACTGGTAAGCATATTTAAATTCACTTAGAACTTAAAAGAGTGGCTGTACACCGCCAGGATAAAAATAAAATCGCCACTGGTTGCATTAGACAGAGGTTGCTGAATAGAGGCAGTTTATTATGGAAAAACTGGTCTTGCCTGTTCCAGGGTGGTTGTTGACAGCCTGTTGAAGCAACCACCTCTACTCAGCAGGTGGTAGCTTCAACAAGTTTAACTGTATATCCTGAAAAACACTTTGAGACATCCTCCCAACGTAAAAGGCATTATATCAAATGTAAGGATTATTATTCCTAATACTACTACATTATTTGGTGATCAGAACTCGGTTCTTCAGCAGACAGCGGCTCAGTCTATCTAAATATATTTCCACTACAAATATTTTGAACGTTGAGTATTTGCATATACAGAAAAAGTAGTTCTTTACACAAGAACATACAAATGTAGACAAAAAGAAAGGATATCAGATAATCTATCTTGCTGCGTTATCCAAGTCCTGTTTCAAAACCTGATAATTTTTCATTTCCTCCCTCACTCCTTGTTGAATGAAGTTATCACTTCTGAATATTTTGTCTGACACGGCATCCACACTAGGTGGCAGATTAGTCCACAGATTTCTCGTACTGAATTGCACATTTACTGTATTTAGAAAACATTTAAATGAATCAGTGAAGCTTTTGAAGATGCCATAATTTTATGTTAAAGTAAATATATTGAATGATTGTACTTAATCAAAGGCAGCAGGAGTTTTGCCATAATTATAGAGAAAATTGAAGATATGTAGGTCAAACGTGATGTCACAGAGTAGATTGTCAGCCATGTAACTCACATTTTGTTGTTATTTTGTTGCCATGGAACAAGTATATATTGTGTGCAAATCATACAGCCCAAAACAGATTGCAAAGAAAGAACACCTTATCCACCAGTACAAATAGTATAAACACAACAAATACACACCTAGCGTTGCCACCTGGATGGTTTGTAAGTGGCTTGCTCAGTTTTTGTACTGCCTTGCTGTTTGCCTGTGTTATCGGTATTTCAGGGTCATGGTGGACCATCAACTTTGCCTAAACACTGTTCTGCAAGACCACAGAGAAGGGACGAAGGGCACTTTGGTCGTGCTCATCTCTCTTCAAGGACAGCAAGGTCCCAATTCAGGTGAAGTTTGCGGCATACAAGACCTGCCTGCAAACTGTCCTCCTTTTTGATCCGAGTTCCCAGGGATACAAAGGAAGGGCTTCCTCCAATCCAATTGCAAAGTCCACGATCAAGCAGTGAGGTGCTGAGCCAGGAGGGGCCACAGCACTCCAGGGCACTGCTGATGACAGCATAGCCAGCCCGGCTCACCGGCAGCACTTGGAAGGGCAGACCAGCCGCTGGGGTTAGGGATTTCTCCCATTCCAACAACCCTGCAAGCCAAAGCCCTAATGGATAGGGTGTTCCTCGCTGTACAAGCAGTGGGAGAGCTTGCCAGATAGTGCTATCAATGGCAAGCTTTCATGGACTCTCTCCTCGCCGGCCTTCCCGGCACCTCCCTCCACAAGCTGCAGGTCATTCAGAACTCTGCAGCTCGTGTACTGTCCCGCACCAGGCTTCGGGACCACATCACTCCCACCCTCGCTCGCCTCCACTGGCTCCCCATCCCCCAGAGGATCGAATTCAAGATCCTCATCCTCACCTACAAGGCCATTCACAGCCTCGCTCCCTCCTACCTCTCCAACCTACTATCCCCCTACCTACCTGCCCGTACCCTCCGTTCCTCTGGCTCCGGTCTGCTCCACATCCCCCGCCCCAACCGCCCTACCATCGGTGGTCGGGCCTTCAGCCTCTCAGCCCCAGGCTCTGGAACTCCATCCCCCAGTGCCTTCGCCGCTTCCTCCCTTTCCTCCTTCAAGGCCGGTCTCAAAACCTTTCTCTTTGACTGAGCCTTCAGCTCCCCTCTCGACTCTCTTCCTCCTCCTCGCTCCCTCCCTT